CGTGCAGCTCAGTTCCCGGCTGATTTATTTATTATACACAGAAGCAACCCCCAACTGCCATAAAGGGAGGCAGTGTGGTCATTAGCCTATAACCATGATGGTGAACCTATGGCATGCATGTATTGGGATTTAGAAGGAAAGGAGCTTTTGATCTCCCACTTCTGGGGGCTCCAGGTAGCTTCTCTTCAAAAAAGAGCTCCGGCTTTTGGGGGAATCACTGAAAGTCAGCTGGGTGTTGCCTGGGATGGTCAAAAGGCAGGCCGGGATCCTTCAGACATGCAGAAGCCCAAGGCAGGTGTTTTCACACAGGGCTTCGCTTTCTACACATTCACCAAACTGGTACTTTGCAGAGGCGCCGAGATGAAGAACATCCTATTTTCCTTCTCTGCTTCAGAGGAGAAGCAAAAGATTCCACTATTTTGCCAGTGAAAATATGGTAACTGTTCTTGCTAAAGGCTTCTGATAAACAAACCATTTCTTTCCAACAGTTGTATTTAATCAGAGTGCCATCAGCCTTTCTCTACTAAATTCATTTTCAGGCTACTTTCTATTATCCTGACTGAAGCCTCAACAGATTGGATTCCAGTTCTTGACAAACTGCATCTCAGCCTTCTGGACATTTGGCACTGAAGCCTCCCCCTTGCAGTCCTTGTGCTGCAAAACTCAGTTTATATTCTTCATAAATTCTTAATAAAGATTCAGTTTACATCTTGTAGTTGTCAGAAACATCTAAAGCAGGGGTGTCTGATCTTGGTGACTTTAAGACTGAGGATGAGAAGCACGGCTGGGTGGGGAATTCTGGGGCTTGAAGTCCACAAGTCTTAAAAGTCGCTGAGGTTAGACACCCCGGATCTAAAGTCTTTTTCCTATAGGGAAGATGATCTAGGAGACAGCCAGATCATTTCAGATGCATCTCCAAGTTGAAAAATACTCTCTTTTGCAAGGTTTTTTTGCCTTCCCTGGCCTACCTCACAGGAGGCACGGAGCAAATGGGTGACTTGTCTCCATCCAATCTGTTTGGCAATATGATTGCCAAACAGATTGGATTGCCTTGCAATGAGAGGAAGAACTGAAATATTGCTGCATTGGATTCGAAAAAAGGGAGAAATTCACCTCCCCAACCGTCACTGCAAATTGGCACTAGGTTGATGTTTCAGAGAAAATCAGGGAAGCTTCCGGTTGGATCCATAGTAGGATGAGCATCGCCTGAGCACAGAAAAGGGAACGAGCACGGTGCTTCATTAGCAGTGGTGTATTTCCAACCGTCCAAACTGCAGGATGCATCACTTCACTTCTTGCGTCTTTCATAGACAAGTGACACTTATGATGGGCCATTCCTGTCTGTCGCTGCTTGCTCGTTTCGTGCTAATTGCCTTCCCAAATTGGACTGGTGCTCTTGTGACATGAAAAACAACCACCAAAGTATTGTTCATCCAGATAGAGATGGAGGGTGGGAGGGTGGGGGGAGCAGTAATTACAACCCTGGCGTTCTTTATGGGATAATTAGAATTAATACCATGCCGTCATCATTCATCACCTCTCCACCCTCCAACTTGTCTTTTTCACTCCGGTTGCCTTTCCCTGAAGGCTGGTGAGTGTTGTCTTCTCACCAACTGAACATCTATATCCACGGACATCTTTACCACTGAAACAGACAGGATTTCAGGTTTTGCATTTATCTAAATTGCTAAAACCACTGAGTCTTCTGCAGGGTGAAGAGAGTTTCCATTTTGTATTCCTGTCCATCTTTTTCCCCCTGCCACTTTGCAAAAATATGCTCAGATGTAAAGATCAGAGAAGCTTGCTCCCCAATAAAATAATTGAGTGTCCTTTTAGGCAGTTTAATTAATCTGCTTATTTCCCAGCCTTTATTTTTGTCACTTGCAGCATGTTGATTTGCATGTTGGTTGCTAGTTGTTGGTTCACAGGGATGTTGGGTGTCAGTTGAGAGTTGCTGAATGGCAAGGTCTTGAATACATGAATATGTAGCCATATTCATGTAGTTGGCAGCTAATGCTTTGGCTTCTGACTGGATCAGATTACCAGTCATAAGACAAAAAGCCCTCTTGCTATCAGCCCCTCATCCAGGAAAGGACAAAGGCTCCGGGACCTGCTTGGACTGGGAACCCTGACACCTGCTACCCAAGAAAATGCCCTTCCTGCTTCAAAGTGGCCAAGACTGTTACGAGGAATGGTGGATCGGGCCCAATAAAGAGACTTGAGTCATCAAGTAAAATATCTCACTTTTATTTGCAGGTTCATCATATCATCACTTGGGTACATCAGGAACTGGAACATGGAGGAGTGTGCCCACCTTTTATACCTGTGGGCGGGGATTCAGGTAAGGAGGGGTCTATGGGAGGAGCTGACCAGGTGGGAGTCTGGGTTAACCCCTGCACTACTGCGCTATAGCTGATCCCTGGCACGGGCAGAGCATTTATACCTGACAAATCCCCCTCTAAATGCCTAACCCGTGTCTGTAGGCCTGACTGACTGGTCGGTATCCTGGGGTGGATGTTGAGCTTGGAAACTAAGTGTGAGTTTTGTTTGCCCTGTAGGGGTTTCGTGAGTATGTCTGCGGTCTGTTCCTCTGTATCGCAGTGTATGGCCTTTATGAAACCAATTCTGGAGAGCTGTCTAACGTGTTTGTACTTTATGTCTATGTGCCTTGACCTTTGCCCTACAGCGTCAGACATGGATATTTCTATAGCGGCTTTGTTATCTTCGTAGATATTTATTGGGTAAGCTGGTTCTCTCCACACGCTGGCAAGAAGGTCGTCGAACCAGATGAGATTGTTGGCGGCTTTGGAGAGGCATATGTATTCAGCTTCAGTAGTCGAGGTTGCCACCAAGATTTGTTTGCCTGTGTACCAATGCACCGGACAGTTATTTAAGTAGAATATGTACCCAGATGTGCTTTTGCGGCCTTTGGCGTCTCCGGCCCAGTCAGCATCAGCGTAGCATGAGAGGATGGGTTCTTCGGATTTTTCAGGCTCTAGGGTTAAGCATGCATTGGCACTCTGTTTCAGGTATCTTAGCCCCCTTTTCACTGCGTCCCAGTGGTATGTGGTGGGTTTGCTCACGTGCCTGGATAGTAAATTAACGGATAGAGCAATGTCCGGTCTTGTCCAGTTAGCGATATACAGGAGGGAGCCTATGATTGATCTGTACAGCGTGTTGTCTCCAAATTCGGGTGATTCATCATGCATGTTTTTTAGGAAGTCCGCCTGCATGGGTGAATCACATCCCTTGGCGTCTGCCATGTTGCACTTATGGAGTAACTCTTCTATTTTCTCTTTCTGTGACAGTTGGAAACCTTTTGGCGTCTGGCTGACTTGTACCCCCAGGTATCGGTTTATCCTCCCAAGGTACTTTAGGGTGAAATGCTCGCTCAGCCTGCTGGCGAAGGTGTTGCGGTTGGCTTCGTGTTTGCTGATTGTCATCCACGTAAACTAGGATGTATTCTGGTGAGTCCCCCTCTTTCCTGGTGAAGAAACAGTTGTCAGCTATGGTCGCCGTGAATCCCATAGACTTCAGGGCCTCTACCAGGCATTCGTACCATCGTTTGCCTGATTGTTTTAGTCTGTACAGGCTCTTATGAAGTAACCAGGTGTCCCCTCTGTTGGTTTCTTTGCTGTGGGGGGCTCTGATGTATATCTCTTTGTCTAGTTTGGCGTGCAGGTAGGCGGTCTGCACGTCGAACTGGTGCACTTCCAGCCCTAGCAAGGATGCGATGACCAAGGCGCTTTTGACGCTCTCTGTTCTTACGGTGGGCGAATAGGTGTCTGTGTAGTCCTCCGGAAACCTTTGAGCAAACCCCTGGGCAACTAATCTTGCCTTGTATAGGCTTTGGCCGCCCTCTAAGTTCTTGATTTTAAATATCCACCGGGTGCCTATTGTGTTCTTGCCCTCTGGTACTTTGGTGGGTGTGTATACCTCCAGCTTCCTCAGGCTGTCCAGTTCTTTGGCCATGGCTAACTCCCACTTTGCCCTCTCCCCCTGGGGTAGTCTCAGTACCTCTTCGTAGGAGTTTGGCGTAACGTGGTTTGTGTGCACGTGCATCACGTAATCATTCAGCCTTTTTGGCAGCTGGTTTCTGGTTGACCTGACCGGTCTGGTTGCTGCCTGCTCAGTGTCATGCAGATATCTGGCCTCTCTTTGTGTCAGTGATTCGACACTTATCTTGGGATGATTCTCTTTCCATCCCTCAACCTTGATGCCTTGGAGGTCGGGCTTGGGCCTGCTCCCTTCCTGTTTACTCACTGTCTCATTTTTGTTTTGAGTTTGCTCGATTGGGCTATCCTCCCGCTCGGTGGGTACCTCATTTAGGTGTAATCTGGACCAGTTGGCTTGCTCATGGAATGCCGCTGTTCTAGAGATCACAAACCTATTATTGTTGTCCACAAACCTGAAGCCCTTGGTTCCTGGCTCGTATCCCATAAACCTGAGCCTTCTGGACACCTTATCCCCTTTTTTGCGCAACTGCTTGGGTATGTGTACATCAGCCGTTACACCGAACACATGTAGGTGTGCTATCTGTGGCTTCTTGTTATACATGACCTCGTATGGTGTTTTATCTATCACACTGGACCATGTTCTATTTAATGTATAGTTGGAGTAGACCAGGGCTTCAGACCAGAAGTGTTGGCCAATGCCCGCGTCCTCTAAGGCGCACCTGACCATCGTTTGCAGCGTGGAGTTCCGTCGTTCTGCGACCCCGTTCTGAAAGGCGGAAAACGGGGATGACGTAAAGTGAATCACGCCTTTGGACCTGAGCCAATGTGAGAAGTCCTTAGATAGAAACTCAGACCCTCTGTCGGTCATGATCTGTTTGATCTGTTTGTTGTTTTGGGTTTCTACTCTTTTATAAAACTCTTTGAATTTTTGGAAGGCCTCATCCTTTTTTCTTAAGGTGTAGACGAAGCCATATCGACTATGGTCATCCACTATGGTGAGGAAGTACTTTTCTTATAATTTATGGATGGCCTTAGGGGCCCTACCAGGTCCATGTGTACTAAGTCGAATATTTGGTTGGCGGCACGTAACGACTTCTTGGGTCTGGGTTTTACCTTCAGTTTTGAACACTTGCACACCGAGCACTCGAGGTAGTTTTCACAGTTTTTTATTATGGCACCCTCGGTACAATTGGCCATTTTCTGTATCACGGGAAAACTGGCGTGTCCAAGTTTGCGGTGCAGCAGATGGGCGCAGTTGTCATGCATTGGTTTGCCTATTGAGGGCCTCTTTTGGGTGTGTTTGTTGTGTTGTGTTTTTGGTGTCGTGTTACTATCGTTATCTACCTCTTTCCCGCCTACCTGTTCACCCTCAGTCCTGCCTTGGTCAGTGTCTTCTGCGTTCTCTGAACTGGTGTTTATGCTGTGGGTGTAATCCTCATAGAAAGTTATGTAGGGTAACCCTTGGTTAATGGTTACTCTTCCTATATCTTTCCTGTCCTTGCTAACCTTGACGTTGCCTTTTGTGAATATCATCTCAACCCCTGATTCCTTGCTAAGCTTTACTGCGGCCAGGATGTTGTGGGGTATCTCCGGGACTAGCAGTACCCCCTCTATTTTCCCTACGCCTGGTAATGTAATTGTCCCTTTGCCTGTTACTCTAACCTGGTTTTGGTCTGCAACTTTGATCGAAAAATCCTCTCTCTTGAATGATGAGAGTAGTTTCTGATTGTATGTGGTGTGGTTGGAGGCCCCCGAGTCCAGGAGCCAAGAGCTGGTGTCCTTGTCTTGGTGTGTGGTGTGTGTGTGCTCCCCTATCCCATATAGGGACCCTGTCCTGCTGTCGCGTGAACTGTCTCTGTTCCCCCTCTTATCCCTGGGAACGGGTGAGTCTCTACGTCTATACCTTTCTTCGGATGTGTGCCTTTCTGTTTGTCTGTACCTATGCTCAGGCCTGCCTCTCTCCCTATAGTTCTTGGGGCAGTCCCTTTTGATGTGTCCCCTCGACCCGCAGATGTAGCACTCGGGCGTGTTGTGTTGTTTCTCTTGGAAGACTACTCTCTTTTCACTCTTGTGTTCTCTGGGAGGGCCGGGGCGGCTCCTCCTCAGATTATCTTCTGCGATAAGTTTGTTGGATAGCTTCTCCACGGATAGCATCCCTAGGCTAACTGTGTCTAAGTGTGTCAGAAAGTTATTCCATGAGTGATCTAAAGAGTTGATTATCACACTCTTCATGATTTGGTCGGAAATAACTTCTCCCCTAAGGTGTAGCTCTGCTCTGGTACCGCTTAAGGACACTAGGTGCTCACTCATGGGGGTCCCTGGCTTAAGTCTGGCGGAAAAGAAGTCTTTGGAAATTTGTGTGGTGGTGGACACACTCTCACTGTAAAACAACCCAAACATTTTCCCTATAATTTCTGATACTGTGAGGTTATGGCCAATACAGTGGTAAATTGTGGGGGAAATACTGGCAATTAAAAGGTAGAATGCCCTATGGTGCATGCAATCCAGCTCTAAAGTCCATGGTCTCTCTGGAGGGTCATTAATAAAATGAGACATGTTTTCTTTCAGAAACACCACCTGGAGCTGCTGTGACCACTCTAGGATATTGCCCCCATCCATCCTCAACTTGGGAAAGTCTACTGGTAAGTTTCCAGCACTATTAGTAAAGTTACTTACTGCTGGCTGCTGTCCATGGTTCCTTATGTGCCTATAGCAGCAGTAAGGCATGGGAACGCTTGCCGGTAGTTTAAAAGTCCCGCTTTGTAATTTTTTTCTTTTTTCTTCCTCTAGGCGGAAGAGCGCATGCGCGAAGTCCATTTCAGCTCTGCCGTCGCCGAGGAAGGACCTGTTCATCGCGGCTCCGCTGTAGAGGCCTCTGCCGGTCGGGTAGGCCTCGGCTTCGGACTTGGGGGTCCAGGTGTGTTCCGGAGGGCGTCGTCCAGCGGCTGCTTCTCCGGAGTGAAGATCCTGGCGGTATTGAGGCTCCGGTGATGGCTGTAAGTAGCTGCCCCAGTCTGCGCGGTCCGGGGTGTGCGGCCTGGGCGATCGGAGGCGCGGTGTCCCTGGGGTGCGAAGGTGGGCTGGCGGGCTGGCACGGGCGTCGGTGGCTCTCGGGTGGGTGCTTCGTTGCCCCTCTCCTCGCCTTCCTTTCTGTTTTGGCCTCTCCGGCTTCTCTTTTGTAATTTTGAGGCCTGGGCCGAAGGCAGCGGCAAGGGTCTTCATGGCCCTATCTACTTGTCGCTCGCTGGGGGTGTACCAGGGGTCAGAGTCGGATTCGGTCCCCTCTCCCCGGTCACTTTCCTCGTGGTTCATGGTCCGGCATTTTTCGCGCGCCGGCCATTTTGAACTCTGGCTTTCGATTGGTTGGAGGTCGGCCATCTTGTCCGAGCACGTGGACAAAGATGGCCGCCGTTTCAAATTTAGAGCGGGGCTTTGGGGCTCGGTGGTCGTTGGAAGTGCCCCTTTGGGCGATCCACTCACCGAGTCCAGCTCCTCGAGTTCTGAGTCTGAGCCTTCTTCGCTCCTTGCCGCCTCGCGATCGAGTATGAAGCTCCGCAGGTCGGCAAGGAGGTTTTTGTCGCCGGCTCTCTCCTTTAACAGCTGTAGGACGTCGAGTCGCAGCTCCTCTCCTTCTTGGTCGCCGTGGTGGCCTTTTCCTTTTCTCGATCTCCCCCTTTTCTTCCGTTGCGGTGGTTTTGGGGGTGGTTGAGGATCCTGCCTTCTCTGGCGAGTCCGGTGGGTTGCCTTCCCGTTGCTTCGGGGGTGTCGCCATTCTGCAGGTAGGTATGGGTCCTTGTCTTGTGGCTTGGGATCTTTGGGCCTTACCAACCATCCTCTGCTACCATTTTGTTACGAGGAATGGTGGATCGGGCCCAATAAAGAGACTTGAGTCATCAAGTAAAATATCTCACTTTTATTTGCAGGTTCATCATATCATCACTTGGGTACATCAGGAACTGGAACATGGAGGAGTGTGCCCACCTTTTATACCTGTGGGCGGGGATTCAGGTAAGGAGGGGTCTATGGGAGGAGCTGACCAGGTGGGAGTCTGGGTTAACCCCTGCACTATTGCGCTATAGCTGATCCCTGGCACGGGCAGAGCATTTATACCTGACAGAGACAGGCTCTCCTCCCCAGGGCCCAGGCAGCCCCCAACTCAGTGTGACTAGTTGCCTCCTTCCGATCGGTCCTGGTGCCACTGGTTCTCCTGGGACCCCAGCAGCATCTGAGCCAGATGGAACCAGTTCTCACGTCTTAGGAAAAGGACGGAACGCAGCCATGCATAGACCCTGGGCATAAAAAGAACACTTGACTCAAACCATAACTGTCCATCAGTGCCAGTCCATATATGAAATGCCGTAGCAGGCTAAATAAATGAATGAATGAATGTCCATTAGTTACTCTCGCCTGTCTGCAGTTCTCTCCTGTGGTGCAGCGGAGCTCATCTGCTCCAGCTATTCTCTCCTGCCCTTTTCCTCAGTGGTTCTCAACCTCGGCTGCTTGAAGACGGGTGGCCTTCAACCCCCAGAATTCCTACAGGGCTGGCTGGGGGATTCTGGGAGTTGTAGTCCACCCGGCTCCAAGCGGCCGATGTTGAAGAGCACCGTCTTAACAGCGTGAGCTCAGATTCCACGCTGCCAGCAGCACAACTTCCTGCCTGAAGAGGGCGCCAAACGCCGCGCCGGATTGCTGGGGCTGCTGCGTGGTGGGACTTCCGGGACTGAGCGGGCGGCAGGCGGCGCTAGAGCAACTTCGAGCCAAGAGTGGGCGGGGAGAAGGGAAGCCAGCGGAGGAGGGAGACAAATCCATATAGACAGCTGCTTGCATACCGAACTTCCGGGTACACCTACCAAGAACTGTTCAGAGAAGCTGCACTGGCTGACGTATTGAATAGCGCCCCAAATTGAGAAGGGCAGCAAATCCCAATTTTTCAGGAAGGCTTAATTAAGTTTTCCTGCACGTTGCAGAGTAAATGATCCTTGTGGTCCCTTCTGACCCCAGATGGACCTGCTGGGTCCCCAATAACTAAGCAGGGTCAGGTTAGGATATTTCCCTGGAAGGGGCGCTACGAGGAAATCCCGGGGCGGCCCCCAGAATAAAGCAGAGCCCCATTTAAGGCCCGAGGAGTGCAAAGTCGTCGTTCCCGCCGTGAGGTGCCTGGCGGGGGGTCTTGGGCAGACCAACCACGAATGGCTGCCAAATCCCGAGGCCTCCCGTGGAGCCTTCTGGCGGGGCGCTCGAGAGAGAGAGAGAAAGAAATCAGCGAGGAGCCCGGAAGTGACTGGCCAGCGCCCTCCTTTAGGGGCGTGGCCGTCCGGCTCTGCGGCCCTGCGCGGGGCGGCGCTCTAGGCTTCCATCTTTATGCGGGCGAGGGGTGGTTGCTAGGCTGCGCGCAGGGCCTAGTAGGCCGCAGGAGCGGCGGGGCGGCGTGGCCGTCCGGCAGCCGCGTCGAGTCGGGCTGTGGGGCGTCATGGCGGCTTCGCCTCCGTCGGAGTCGCGTAGCGCGGAGGGCCCGGGCAGCTGCGTCCTGTGCTGCGGCGAGCTGGAGGTGGTGGCCTTGGGCCGCTGCGAGCACCCCATCTGCTACCGGTGCTCCGTGCGGATGCGGGCGCTCTGCGGGGTCCGCTACTGCGCCGTCTGCCGAGAGGAGCTGGCCCAGGTGAGCGGCGCCCGCCGGGCAGGGGCGGCGGAGGGCGGGACCGGCAGCCGCCAGCCGACCACGACTCCCCTGGGCCTCCGTGAGCGCCGGGGCCGCTGCCGAGAGCGGGGAGGCGGCTGGGGCGGGGGCGCCGTCTACCCGAGCGGCCTCTGCGGCGGGGAGGCCTCTAGGCCGGCGGGCGCGGCGTCCCGGAAGGGCTTCCCGCGGCGGCTGGGGGCGCTTTGGACGGGCTCCGCCTGAACCGCGGCGGTTGGGAGCGGGGAGGGCGAGCCTTGAGCCGAGCGGGGACGGGGGCAGAAGCGGCGCTCTCGGCCGAAAGGGCTTCCTCGGGAGCCGCCCTCCGCACTGGCCTCGAGGCGGAGGCTGCTGCCGTGGCAGGGCGCTCGGGCAGCAAAGCGGGGCGGCGCTTTGGGAGGGGCATCGGCCGGGGCTGCGCTGCCGCCAAGCCAAGCCAAGCAAGCCCGGTGCCTCTTTTTCCGGCCTTCCCACCATTTTTGGCAGCCCAGTTTCTTCCCACCGGGTTTTCCTTCGCCTTATCGCTGCCTTTGGCCTCTGTGCTCCCGGGTGTCCTCTGGGCAGGCCCCGCTACAGTGGAGGCTCCCCGTGCCCTCCTCATCTTGAAAACGAGGATTCAGCGGCCATTCAGTCGTGGATATGCTCAAGATCTGCGGCGTGGCAGTTGCGCAAACAGGCCTTAATCCTTGCTTTGAAATTATAAAAACTTCATTATCAGATCATGAGAAACCTGTGGATATAATTTGCTGTGATTTCAGGATAGTGTGTGGCTGAACAGCCAGTGACATCCTGATTAACCAGGTAGGTAAACATGGCATTGTGATAGCCTGCTAGGTGACTGGAAAGGCCTCCTCAGCCGGTTCAGATCCAAGTGGAGAGAGCTTTTAAAAGAGGATTCAGTCCCGGGACTGGCGCTTTTCAATGTTTGCATTAATTGCTGCCCAGTTTTCATCGGTTGAAGAGCGAGGAGAAGCTTGTCAAACTAGTAGATCATACAAAGCTGAATGCGATAGTCATAGAAGACAGAAACACAGCTCCAAAGGATCTTGATAAGTTAAGAGATGTGGGCTGAAAACAGCAGTGAAAATTAATAGACAGACAAAGACAACACCCAAGGCACATAGCGTAGGACAGGAGTGGGCAAATGTGGCCCTTTTACAACCTGTGGACTTCAACTCCCAGAATTCCCAAAATGTATAATGACATTTGCTTCTCCAAATAAATACAGAATAATTTGTATTATTTGGCTGCAGTCTCTCTTTTCTAAGGCAGCCTTTTTGCTTAGATATGATAAACTACAGTCCTTGCTAGCCAAGCTGGGAATTGCCATCTAGCACATTTTTTTTTTATTTATATGCCGCCCTTCTCCAGAGACTCAGGGTGGCTTATAATGCGTTAAGCAATAGCCTTCATACTTTTGTATATTTTATACAAAGTCAGCTTATTGCCCCCACAAACTGGGTCCTCAATTTACCTACCTTAGAAAGGATGGAAGGCTGAGTCAACCTTGAGCCTGGTTTAAAGTTTAAAATTTAAAGGGTACTGAAGTGGAGGGAAGAGGCTGTGTTAATGCCCTGGTGTTATTCCAGTCCAACTTTCAGTGATCTCCTGATCCTTGTCACTCTCCTACTCACAAAATTTAACCTTCCCTTATAAGGATTGGACCTTGCAAGATTTCAGTGCTCATCTGAATTTTGTCATCCGAGTCCTACAAATGTAGGGTTGTCAGACTATGCAGGGAATTTTTTTAATAGTCTTCTTGACTCAATTCTATAATTGTTCAATGTTTTGAATATCGACATGGGATTTGGCCCACACCTCCTCAGGTGTGCTTCTCTGCGGGGCTTGGGACCCTCTGTCTCACCCGCAGTGAGTGTCGAAACCCCCAGACAGTTGATTCTGTTAATTAGGGCTCCTGGAATTCAACAGTATGACACTCTTTTGTGTCATACTGAGGGTCGGTTTCCTGACTTGATCCCTCTCTAAGCAACTGAGTCTTCTCTTCTGTACTGAAAAGCCCCTATATAGCCTCTCCTTGTTTAGTGGCTACCTTGTTTACCAACCATTCACAAATACAACAGTATTTTTTTAAAAAAATCATTTTCTGAGTCATGGGTGCCCAAATTTCTGCACACCTGACAAACACACACACACAAGAATGAGAGTAACATTTATACTGCCCATTAGAGAACTTAAATGGAATGGCAGCAATCAGTGATTTTCAGTCTCACGCTCAGATTTTCCACACTCTGTTTCTCTTTTTCTCCTGTGTTTGCCTAGCAACCATTTCACTGCCAACTTAAGGACCAGATTGCAATCACGAAACAAAGAGGGAATAAGAAGTCCTTGCCAGCCCTGTGCAGAACCAGCCTTTTCCTTGATATTCCTGGGATATTTGGGAATCTGCTTGGTACTGTAGTTATTTTAGCAAAGAAGTATGAACATGAGTGGAATAAACGTTGCCAGTGGGCTTCTAGCTAGAGATGTCCTACTGTGGAGCTGTGGCTATTTATGCAGGTTCTTTAGTGGGGAAAGTAATGGTTGTGGTGGTGCATTTTTTCTCCTTGGCTTCCATCCAGGCAGAAGTAAGTCAATTTTGCTCTGGGAGTAGCAGCTGCTTATTTCTTGTTTGAGAGTCAAGGTCCAGTGAACTCTTTTCTTCTGCCTCAGGAGGCCTTTGCCTCTTGACATTTGGGGCTTTTCAGGTCCCAGTCTATAAAACCAGGTACATTTGCATATTTTACTTGAGTGAGGAAACAGATCTAAAAAGGCTTTTAGCAGGCAGGGAAGAACAGGAGGGACACTGCCCCAGAAGGTCTGAGGGGACTATGAATAGAGACTGACGTTGGGTGTCATCTCTCATTTACACATTTAACAAATAGTACTATAATATGTAATCATATTTTATACTTAATGTATTATTTATATTGCTATATGAATTGTAGAATGATTTCCAATGAAAGGTGGTATGAAGGTATGAGTCGGATATTTTCTCTTACCAGCTTTTTCATTGTAAATGCAATTTTTTAAAAATGAAAATAGAATTGGTAACAGGAAAAAAAGAATGGGATAGATCCTCAAAGAGAAAATTCCATGCTGGGAAGAAGAGAAAAGTGCTGGGATACTTCCTGTGCGTTTCCATTTGTATTTCTTGTGCTTAATTGAAAGGCGGTTTACCATTATTTTCCTTAATTGTGATCTGGCTTTTCCTCTTTGTGTTTGTAGCACAATATTCTGTTGTTGCTCCTTTTCTATGTCAAAATAGAGGTGTGGATCTTGGGCTTTCCTTGTACTGGCTCTGCGGTGGGCAGAACTTTGAATATTTGTAATAGCAAAGGGGGTTAAATTTGGAGGTGGGAGAATACCCCATTTCGCGGTCAGCATCCACCCAGCAGTGCCACAACAGGCTGGGCCGTCCAGCTGTCCCAGGCTGGGGAAGAAGCTCCCCTCTCCCTCTGGCCTTGGCAGGAAGGCTCTTGAGCCATTTGGGCCAATCTGGCTCAGACCCGTCCTTGCCCCCTGTAATTGGCAGAGAATCTTCAGAAACATTCTCCCTGTTTGTTCCTTCTCCCCTGCTACTAGGGAGTACTAGGCTTGAGACCTCTTACATAGCAGTTTAAATTCTGCTGCTGAACCATTCCATCATTAAGGAAGAGAAAAAAGGGAGCATCATGTGCAGCCTCTGGACCACTCAAAGGACGAGTTCCTTTCAGTCTTTCTGTGTCTCTCTTGGCAGTGAAGATGTGTTTTGTGTGGGCTCCATTATTTCTGACTTGAGAAGTACTGTATGCAAAAGACGCTCAGTCATTATGAAAACGGTGGGTGCCCTTGGCTTGTGGTCCCCGTTTTTCTAGAAAAAGTTCTCTCCTCTGTGTAGTTTCTTTTGCTCCCGTCATCTTCTATGACTTGTTCTGTCGGGGGTTTTCCCTTCTGTCTGATTAAATGATGCATCCCATTTATTCCTGGAAGAGTGTGTCACTAGCCAAAGGCATCTCCTGTTACATCATATTTAAATTGTGGGAAATGGAACCTTAGCCAAGCTCCTCACCTCTAAAGGAGGTGGGGTGAGCAACAAATGGATCTCTGTAACTTTCTTTTAGGCTCCCACAGGGTGGATTTGATTTAAATCGAGTTGATTTAAATCACAATTTAAATCATGATTTAAATCACTAGTAAAAAGGCTTGATTTAAATCAACTCAATTTAAATCATAATTTTTAAAGAGCAACTGTCATCTCTGCTACTCCTTTGACCCACTGTTGACTCACCGATAGTCCCAGTGTTGCAGAATATACAGCCTCATGTTACATAACTAAGCTCCATTTCATGCTGAATAAACGAAATTATTTATGTATCTTAAATAGAAAACTATCTTATGATAGATTTTTACCACAAAAGTTTTTTATTAAAATAAATTCGATAAAAATAAAAAAAATCCAATTTAAATAAAAAAATTTTGATTTTTTTGATTTTTTTAAAAAAATCATTGATTTTTATTCACCCTGGGCTCCCATGAAATTGATGAAGTGTAATCTCGGTTGTCTCTTCAGAATAGTGAAAGCCCCCCCCTCCCCCTAAATCTTGAACATATGATTGTTGTTGCTAACCTGAGGTGTACGAGTCTTGCATTAAGTTAATGTGATGTCTCCCTTGGACGACTCCTCTGACTCTTCCTCAGAGGCTGGCTGGAGGGAGGATGAGCTCATTATTGGCACTTCAAGAACTGGGTTAATTAATGACTCTGTAACTGCCAGTCGAAAGAGATTTATGGGACACAGGAGGCTTCTGCTGGGGACAGCTTGCAGGCCAGTGAAGAAGAGAAGGAGCTGCCTTCCATGGTGGATCCGAGAGCGCGCAGGGCAGAGAAAAAAACAAGAGCAACGGAGATTTGCCAGATGACTCCAATGCAGCCCCGCCCATCTTGATGGGCTGTACCGGAAAGCTATTTATCACGGTGGGCAGAGGGAGGCGTTGCTGGGAACAACGTGTTGGGTTTACGGCTCTGTGTGTTTATTCCTCATGCTTCCTGCTTGATTTTGTGCCTTGAAGACTGAACTTCTCTTGCCAGTGAGCTCTCGTGGATGTACTTTTGGTTTTACCTGGTGGTGATTTAGGTTTGTTTGGTGGACTTGTTCGAGCAACATTCTATTGTTTTACGGACTATCAGCCATTGCCTTGTGGACTAATCTTGGCCTGCTTCTGGCTGAATTTATTCGGGACAGTTCTGAGGCCGGGGTGAAGGGAATTGCTGGGGAACATTAATGAACTCTCTGAACCACACTTACATGTGTGTGTTTGTGTGTGTGTGAGTGAGTGAGTGAGTGAGTGGGGCAGCACAGTTTGGGGAGAATGAGATTGTAAGGGAGTGGGATGGATACAACCCATACAACCTCATATCTGTTAGGGCCAGGCAGGACATCCATTCCTTCCACAAAATCTGTTGCACAGAAGGCAGCTGGGAAAGATGCCTTCTCCATTGCCACCATGTGGCCTGTCTCCAAAAAGTAGAATTGTCCTCTGCCTTTCCACGTGATGGAAATACACAAAGGGCAGTCCAGTCCTTCATCAAGAAAAGTACTTGGGATTGGAGGGAGGGAAGGAAATAGAAAGTGATTACGCCTTTTCTATTTCCGGTAGAGAAGAGCTGAAAAAGAGCAGAAAATTCCATTCTCACACTCCCAGCCGTGAAGACAGAGGGATAGCATCAAGAACACAAGAAGCAGTAGTACCGCTTTATAAGGCCTTGGTAAGACCACACTTGGAATACTGTGTCCAGTTTTGGTCACCACAATATAAAAAAGATGTTGAGATTCCAGAAAGCGTGCAGAAAAGAGCAACAAAGATGATTAAGGGGATGGAGGTAAAACATACAAAGAACAGTTTCAGGAATTGTGTATGTCTGGTCTAGTGAAAAGAAGGACAAGGGGCGACATGAGAGCAGTCTTCCAATATCTCAGGGGCTGCCACAAAGAAGAGGGAGTCAGTCTATTCTCCAAAGCACCTGAGGGTAGGACAAGAAGCAATGGGTGGAAACTAACCAAGGAGAGAAGCAACTAAGGAGAAATTTCCTAATTAATTGTGAGATTAATTAACAATTAATTGTGAGAACAATTAATCAGTCGAAGGGGTTGCCTTCAGAAGGTGAGGCTGTTCCATCACTGGAGGTTTTTAAGAAGAGACTGGACATCCATTTCTCTGAAACACTACAGGGTCTCCTACTTGAGCAAAGGACTGGACTAGAAAGATCTCCAAGGTCCCTTCCAACTCTGTTATTCTATGTTCTCAGTGGCAGTTTCCCCAGACCTTGCTGGAAAGTGTGAGAACTTATTTGCTCTGTGCTTTTTCAGTGACGATTGCCCAAGTTATTGGGCCACTTATTGCAGCCATGAGACAAACCTCTAATTCACTGAAAGCGATATTTGAACTTCTCAAGATGCCTGTGTATTTAATAGCTAAGCCCAGTGAGACCACCACTTCCACTCTTCTGGGCCTCTTGAGAGAAATGTGTGCTGTGGGCCTGTTCAGTTTTGTTTTTTCCTCCTTCACTGTGCAGGATAGATTGGGATGGCATTTATTAGGGATTTGAGTTCCCTATATTCTTCCTCTGAATGATGATCTTCCTTGTGAATATTAATTCTGCTATCACAGGTGCCCCGTGGAGCCTCCTTGTGCCGCAAGCTATTTGGGGCCTGGACATTCTGTGTTCCTTACCTCTTCCCGCTTCTCTCCCCACAGGTGGTTTTTGGGAAGAAGCTGCCACCCTTTTCAACAATCATACTCAGCCAGTTACAACATGAGAAGAAATATGACATCTATTTTACTGATGGAAAGATTTATGCTCTTTATGGGTAAATGTTCTGTAGCTTATTCTCTTAGGGTAAAATACAGGCACACTGGCCAGTCAGCAAAGGAACAACTATGATTTTCATATCAGACAATTTGAAAATTGTCTGGAGAGTGGATGGAATGAATGACTTTTCCAGGAGATGCTCTGGGCAGCACTTGCCAGACCCTGTAGCAACTCTTAGGCTGGAAATGATCAAGAAACGTGTCTCCAAGCTCCAGTTAGTATGAATTAAGAAAATATAACGTGTTTATACAAGAATTCCAACAAGTACTTTTGCTTTCAAATGTGAAATATTTCATGTGAGGCAAATGAGGGACTTTCACCTGTCCCTCTGGCCACTAGCCTTTTTGTCAGTGTGTTTAGGAGGCAGCTAAGCAAACGGAAGGGAAATGGCTCTTGCACTGTGCAGAAAGAATTGTGCAAAATAAACTTACTTAGCTTTTTTATGCAAAAGCTTACATTTATGTATTTATTTAATAAACATCCTCAGACCCTAGGAAAAGAAAGAAAAAGAAAGGAAAAATGAAAGTGTGCCCGCAGAGGGAAAGATGCCTCAATGTGAGAACTGGTATCAGTGGCTGAAGCATCCTGCAGTATGTGGCTGTTGTCCCTCATGTGTGTTTTTTCCACTCCTAGGAAACTCCTGCAACACGAATGCCCTCTGTGCCCGGACTCCCGGGCCTTTCCTGCCATTGTGGAATTGGAACAGCACATGAGGAAGCAGCATGAGCTCTTTTGCTGCAAGCTCTGCGTGAAGCACCTGAAGGCAAGCAGGGGGGAGTGAGGCAGGGGAGAGGGGCAGAGGGGGGATCTGTTTCTACTGAAAACGTGAAGGACATTCCCTCTTACCTTCCAGATCTTTACATATGAGCGCAAATGGTATTCCCGCAAGGATCTTGCTCGGCACAGAATCCATGGGGATCCTGATGACACATCTCACCGGGGGCACCCCTTGTGTAAATTTTGTGATGAGCGATATTTGGATAATGATGAGTTACTAAAGCACCTGAGGAGAGACCACTATTTCTGCCACTTCTGTGATTCCGATGGAGCTCAAGAATATTACAGGTCTGTGATTCCAGCTTACTCCCAAGATTGATGCTAGAGAGTAAGAAAGAAGATTTCGATAAAAATATCCAGATGGCTCAGGCAGATGCCTCCCTAATTCACTGAACTCTAGAAAGAAGAAGGCACAGCATAATCAGTCTTGTAATATTTGTAATATTTATTGAGCCAGTCTCAATAAAAAATAGATTTAGCCTTCTGGTGGAGTTGATTTCCTAGTGTGGTTGATTTTCTAAGTGGGGCTGACAGCAATCTTGGTGCTGTAATAGCTCCCCCTCCTCTCCCCCCCCCTCCCCCCTGATTTAGAGAGGTGCCTGCCTGAGCCACTTCCATGTGTTGTCTCGTCCTGGACTTTGAAAATGTTTCAGTAACTTCTGCCTAAGTAACGGGTCCTGTATATTTCCATCAAGACCATCTTCTTCACTGCTTATAGTCACAGCCTCCTATATTTAGGGCCTTGATACAGGTGGCTTGTTCCTTTGGTAAATGGAGTATAGTAGGTCTGGGATGCTACTTTTATTTTATTTACTAAATTTATACGCTGCCTGTCGAGAGCAACTTTGGGCAGCTTACAGTGCAGTAAAATAACATAACATTCAGTTAGAAATACAGAAACAGTTAAAATTACAAGAATTAAATAGAGAAAATGAGTAAAAATAACCCCAAGGGCTCCCATGGAACTGGAGTGGCACCTCCTGTCCCCAAACCAACCATTTCCAGCCTGAAGCGTCTCCACTGGTGCTCCAGGCCAGCCGGCAGAGCCAGGTCTTCAGGGCGGGGGGTAGACCTCACTCACGTCAGCAGAATGTTCCCATGTTGGAAAAGAGTCCTCTCCTAGACCTTCCAGCCAAAATTCCTTGGCTGATAGGATCCGCAGCAGGCCTCTTCCGCTGGAAAGGCAGGGGATGGGCCAACCCTATTTTACCACCAGTACAGCCTTCAGCAGCCTGGGAACACTTGTGAACTCGCAATTATTCTTGGCTACAATGCTGGAGGGTATCCTGGTTGGGGCAAGGTTATCATAGTAGTTGCTCACATGACATCATTGACTCTGGAACAGTTTGCAGGATCCCTCTGAGCTGCTACTGGGTGAGAGAGAGACAACAGTAGCTCACAAGAGGAAGGGCTGTGCCTTGCATTGCCATAGTCTTCATGCTGATAGTCAAGCTAGGCTTATTTCCCTTTTATTTGCTTTCTTTTTTTAAAAAAAAATAATAATTTTATTGAAAAGATAGTGCCATGTCAGGATAACAATGCAAATAAAGCAAAGCCAGAGAGATCATCGTAAATCTTAACATACATGCTAATAACTATAACTGTACTATGTTAACAGTAAACAGATGCTTATGATGTAAGTTTCTACTTACATTAGCTTATTTACAAATTTTTCCATATTATATCCATAGTTTTATGCATCTTTGTTTTACTGACATTCATAAACTTCCCTCTTATTTCTACCTCTTATCTCTATCCATTCATAAAATATATTCCATGTCCTATATATTTCAATTATCTTTAATTTTTAAAGTTAATCTGTCCATTTCAGCACAATCCCAAATTTTCCTAATGTCATCCGGTGGGGTGTTCACATTTTTCCAATATTTAGCATATGTAATTCTAGCTGCTGTCAATATATGTAACACTAAGTAAATGGTTGCTTTGTCATAACTTTCTGACAATATACCTAAGAGGCATTTTTCTGGTTTGAACTCAATATGTTGCTCGGTTATCATTTCTATTCATTTATGAATTTTCTCCCAGTAACTCCTTGCTTTCTTACATGTCCACCACATGTGGTAGTATGTTCCTGGAGTCTGGTTGCATTTTCAAAATTTGGCAGAGGAGTTCTTACACATTTTGGCCAATCTTGCTGGTGGCAAATACCACCCATAAAACATTTTGTAAAGGTTTTCTTTATGTGCCGTGGCCGTCGCCAATTTGTAGTTTCTCTCCCAAATTTTTAACCATTTTTCTAATTTTATGTTGTATCCAAAATTCTTTGCCCAGGCAATCATTGTTTCTTTAACTATCTCTTCCTCCATTTTAGAGTTCAGTAAATAATTATATATATATATTTTAATCAATTTATCATCCGTCCCCATTAAAATTTTGTCCAATGCTGCTTGTTCTTTGTTTACACCCCATAATTTAACAACTTTTTCGTGTCTTGCTTAGGTCTGCAAATACGGCCACCAAGATAAATCCAATTCCTGCTTCTGCAATTGTTGTCTGGATTTAAGATCACCCCTTTCATTTAAAATATCCTTGTAACATACAATTTTCCCCCAATTTATAAGATTTGGATATATTATTGTCTCCATTGGAGAGAGCCAGACTGGTACTTCCCTATAGTGTTGTAGTTTGATTTTTTCCCAAATGTTAAGTAACACGTTCCTCAAATAATGCCTCTGGAAATATTTGTGCGCCATATTTCTGCCATACCAGAGAAAGGCATGCCAGCCTAATTGTAAGTCATGCCTTTCTAGTAATAATAGTCTTCTGTTATTCAAGTTTACCCAATCTTTTAGCCAGGTAAGAGCTGCAGCCTGGTAATATAATTCCCAGTCTGGGAGCCCAAAGCCTAGAATCCTAGAATCCTGTAAAATGTTCAATTTTATTCTCGATTTTTTCCCTTGCCAAATATATAGCAGTGTCATTTTATTTAGTTCATCAAAAAAATTCTTTTCTAATTTTACTGGTATGGTTTGAAATAGAAAGTAGTTTTGATAGTACGTTCATTTTCACCACTGCAATTCTCCCTATCATCAATAACTGTACATTCTTCCATCTTTCCAAGTATCAGCTTTGTATAGTTGTCCTCTTTGACTGTCCCACACCTAGCTGGTAAGAAAATACCAAGGTATTTAACCTTTTTTTTCTATCTGTAAGTCAATTTTCTCTGTCAATTCCTTTTTCTGTTTGTTGGTGAGATTTTTGATTAATATCTTGGTTTTATCTTTATTTATTTTCATCCCTGCCACCTCTCCATATTCCTCAATTTTCTTTATCAATTTAGGACCAGTTTCTCTGGGTTCTTCTAATATAAACACTAAGTCATCAGCGAAAGCTTGGAGTTTGTACTTTTCATTTCTAATTTCCATTCCTTTTATCTCTGTATTTTGTCTTATGTTCTTCGTCAATACCTCTAATGTTAAAATAAATAATAATGGGGAGAGGGGACAATCTTGCCTTGTTCCTTTTTGTATACTAAATCTTTCTGTTACATCTCCATTAACCAATACTCTTGCGTTCCGTTGAGTGTAAATTGCTGTAATTGTATTCCTAAATTTTCCATAAAATTCCATAAAATTTAATTGTTGCAACATAAATTGCCAATTTATATTGTTGAAAGCGTTCTGCGCATCAGGAATATTAATGCTAGTTGTTTTTCATAATGTATTTCATAATATTCTAGTACATCCATGATTATTCTAACATTTTTTATTTGTCTTTTTGGTAAAAACCCATTTTGATCTGAATGAATGAATTCATTTAAAAAGTTTTTTAATCTTTCCGCAATTATTGATGCGAAGATTTTATAGTCTGCGTTTAGTAATGAAATTGGTCTATAGTTTTTAATTTGAGTTATATCTGAATCTTCTTTGGGGATCAGGGTAATATAGGCCTCTTTCTATGTGTTCGGAATTTTAGCTTCGATTAACACTTCATTGTATATTTCTAGCATCGATAGACTCAAAGTGTCTTCTAATTCTTTATATATTTCTACTGGTAGACCATCTGGTCCCGGGGTTTTATTATTTTTTGCTTTTTGATTGCGTTCATTAACTCTGCCATTGTTATTCTTTCCTCCAGCCTATTCTTAACCGTTTCTGAGATTTTAGATAAATTGGCTTTCTCCAGATATTGTATTAATCTCTCCTCTTCTATTTTATCAGCTTCGTATAATTTCTCATAAAAATCATGAACTATATCTCTTCTCTTTTCAAGTTGGCTATGTAATATGCCTTCCTTGTCCTTATCCAATTCTTCTTTTTTTCTTTTTTCAATCTATAGGCTAACTACCTTCCCAGTTTATTGGCATTTTCAAAGAAATTTTGCTTCGTTCTTTTTATTTGTTGTGCCAATTCCTCCTGTCCTGTAAGATTTAATTTGTGTTTAATCAGCTCCATTCTATGTCTTAAATCTATTCTTTGTGGCTCTTTTTGTGATTTTAATTAAAGTTCTTTATATTCTTCTTCCAGGGCCTTTTGATTTTGTTTCTTTTTTTTTTTTTTCTGTGCCATATAGTTTATAGCTAATCCTCTTATAACTGCTTTGGCAGTATCTCACACATTCTGTAACGGAGTCTCTTCCTTTCTATTTTCTTTAAAAAAAGAACCCCAATTCTCTTTCCATCATCTGAATGAATTACTTCTCTTTTATTATTGATTGGTTTAAAGTCCACCTTGTTCTCTTCATTTGTCCCTTCCAACTAATTTTTAATGGGTTGTAGTCTGCCCATAAATTTGGTTCAATTTCAATCTCTTGTACATTTCCACATAATTCCGAATTCATCCAAATCATATCTATTCTGGACCATGATTTATGCATATTGGAATAGAATGTATATTGTTTTTTCCCCGGATTCATTTCTCTCCATGTGTCCAAAATAAATAATTCTTCTATCATTTTAATCAATGTTTCTGGTAAAGTCCTTCTAGTTTTTTTATTAATTTTACTACTTCTGTAGTCCAGTTCATTATTGACAATAGTGTTGAAATCTCCCAAGTGTGAAGTTTCACTGTGAAGTGTGAAGATATATTTTTTTTTATTTATTTATTTATTTTTTATTTGATTTTATTTGATTTGATTTCTATACCGCCCTACTCCCGAAGGACTCAGGGCGGTGCACAGCCAAAACAATAAAACACATACATACAAAATTTAAAAGTAGAATTAAAATCAAATTAAATAGTTTTGGCCCAGACAAATTAAAACCCTGAACTATTTAAAACCAATTTTAAAATTTGAATATATAAAATACTAAAAGATATTAATAAATTAAAAATCTTTTATAAAAGAGGGAGAAAATTAGGCCAGGCCCGCCTGGTGAAATAATAAGGTCTTTAGAGCGCGGCGGAAGGTGCGCAGATCCGGGATCCTCCGTATCTCCAGGGGGAGCTCGTTCCAGATAGTAGGTGCTATATTCATATTTCATATTATATCTCTAGAATCTTTTTGTGAAGTTGTTTATAAAACTTCTCTTGTCCAGTATTTGGTGCATAAATAATTTTAAGGGTTTGCTTTTGATACAGAGTCACCTCCAACATCAAAATTCTCCCTCCTTCATCATTAAAAATTTGTTTGGCATTTATTGTTTTTCACATAAAGTACCACCCCTCTTTTTTTTTTGGCTGTGGTATTGAATAGAATAGTTTTCCCAATTTAGAATATTCCAGTAATTTATATTGTTGTCTCTTAATGTACACTTCTTGAAGTGCTATTATATCTAATTTTAATTTCAGTAATTTAGATAAAGTCTTCCTTTTTGTTGGTGAATTCAGCCCATTAATATTGACTGATAACACCTTTATTTCTTCTTGCATTCAATTATTTATATCTAGGCTTTATAGTTCTAGTTGCTCTTACTTCTCTAGGTTTCTTTCTTATTATGGTGTTAATCTGACTAATTTTCAATATACTCTGGAGAGTTCTTTGCAGTTCTTTAAAAATTGAAAATTAATAAACAGAAGTTTACAGGAAACAGAATATATAAAGTGCCATTATACTGCTATTTTATTGTCGTGCAAATACTTAAAATTAATTCAAGAATATAGATTCACAGGAAAATGGTTTGGATGTTTTACTAGATCACCGGTTGAATGAGAGACAATGGTGTGGCATAGCTGCTAAAAAGCACTGTCTTGAGATTCTGTATTAACAGAAACTTAAACTCTAGATAATGGGAAGCAGTTCTACTGGACTCTGCTCTCCCTCAGCTCTCCTGTGGAATTCTGTGCCTGGTCTTGCTGTCAAAGTTGACAAACGAGCAAATTCAGAGAAGAGCTTTTCAAAAGGTGACTGGACCTATGAGGAACACTTTAAGAAGCTTTATATACAATATGTGTAGTCTGTGGATTTAGCAGATCCTGCATAGAAGGGAGGTTGGGGTTGGACTACCTGTCTTCTGTCCCTTCTAACTTTATGGTAAAAAATACCTGTGAAAAGGTGAGCATTTTAAGATTTGTACTGAAAATACAAATTGCAGGATGATTCCAGAAACTGGTGCAGTGGAATAACTTTGGGGTGACCTCCCTTTCTATCACTGCCTCCATCTGAGACCAGCGTGGAGGAGCCCACAAGCACCCCATGCGCTGTATCTCTCTCTTGCAGCGATTATGAGTATCTCCGCGAACACTTCCGGGAGAAGCACTTCCTTTGCGAAGAAGGTCGGTGCAGCACCGAGCAGTTCACCCACGCCTTTCGGACCGAAATTGACTACAAAGCCCACAAGACGGCTTGTCACAGCAAAAACCGGGCTGAAGCCAGGCAGAATCGGCAGATTGACCTGCAGTTCAACTATGCCCCGAGACACCAGCGGAGAAACGAGAGTAGGTCGGGGCGGAAGGGAGGGCAGGGAGTCTCTGGCGGCTGCACCCCCACCGGGTGGAAGTGTCCTTTTGGGCATGGTTGGGCATCGTGGTTTTTCTGATGGGCTCTTTACTCTCTCACCATTCCTCATAGAATAGAGAAAATAGAGAATGCCTGTTCAGACAGACGTTTAGTGAAAAATGCCAAAAAGTTTTTCCAAATCTTAATTTTGCTGCTAGTCCTCCACTTACGATCACAATTGGGACCAGAATTTCCATCATAAGTAGTTGTGGTCATAAATGGGAACCAATTTTATGACAATTTTTACAGCTGTTGGTAAGTGAATCTTGTCATTGTTAAGCAAATCCAACTTCCACAATGAGTTTTATGCCAGAGATTGCAAAAAAAAGGTTGCAAGTTACAACTGTGGTGCAACTGGATGTAAATGTGAGCCGGTTGCCAAGCATCCAAACTGCGATCCTGGCACTCCAGAGGTGTCCTGTGTGCAAGTACAGACCGAAGGGCATTTTTTCCCAAGGCCATCGTAACAGTGGGGGGTTGCTTGGTTCTCCCCGGTTCTTGCAAACCGGTAGTGGAAATTTTGAGTAGTTCGGAGAACCAGTAAATACCACCTCTGCCTGGCCCCGCCCCCAATCTATTCACTGCCTCCCGAGTCCCAGCTGATCGGCTAGAAGGAAAAAATCAGGGCTCACTTCACAAAAAAGAGGGGAACAAAAACAAGACACCTTAGCTTTAAATTGAGAAGCCAAGAAGCCTCCTGACTGATCGGCTAGAACCGATCGGCTAGAATCGGCTCCTTGTAAACTGCTCAGTGGTGGTAGATTGGCAATTGAGGCCAAGCTGCCTGAAAGCGGTTTCCGATGCTCTTGGTGGTGGCAGAGCGGCAAAAAACTCTTTAAACTCTTGCCAAGGCACTTCAAAGGGCCACCCTACAGCTGATCAGCAGTAAAAGGCAGTGTGGTGGTAGACCAGTGCGCTCCAAAAACAAATAGGTAGATCGGAACACTCCAAAAACAAATAGGTAGACTCTGCAAGCAGTTAAAAGCCTGGTAGACCAGTACCTCTGCTAAATCCTAAAGAATTGTTTGTCACATCAAACCACGCCCACAAAATAAGCCACGCCCACAGAACCGGTAGTAAAAAATTTTAGAACCCACCCTTGCATCGTAACTTTGAACCATCACTAAACAAATGGTCATACATCGAACACTGTCTAGTATTTCAAAAGTTCATGTTTCCATCCTGATGGGGTGACGGGTTTGCCTGGTGAAATTGGGGGTGCCAGGATGCCAATGTCTCCTGCGCTCCCCTCCGACTAGGATAAATACGTTAACTAACTTGACTTGCACATAGGGCAAGCCTAGAATTCAGCTTTCTTTTTTGAGATTGTTTTAGTGTTGTATTTGTGTTCCAGGTGTTGTGAGTGGTGAAGACTATGACGAAGTTGACCGGTATAACAGGCAGGTGAGAGGAAGCAGGTCAGGAGCCCGAGGTGGGCAGCAGAACAGGAGAGGCAGCTGGCGATACAAGAGGTAAGAGCCACAGTGGTTGGTTGGGGGTTTCCATTCAGATGGGCAAAGTGGGAAGGAGCTGCTGGGCTTCAGCAGGCAGAGCCAGGCCAGGAGCTGCGCAGAGAGGAAGCTGGCAGTAAACGCTCCTCGCTTCTCATGGCATAATCCATTTTATCGTTTTCTGTTTTTGCCTTGTGCTCTATAAATTAACCTACCGCAGTGCTTGCTTTAACGGAAAACCTACTTTAAATGATAGCTTCCCCTTCCAGTTTCTGGCCGTGCTTAATCATGACTGGTATTCAGGGCAAAATGAAGGGCGTGCCTAGCCACTTCTGAATGTTGTGAGCCCAACAAATACATCAATACATCAATACAAATACATTCTTTCCAAAGTCTCAATATCTTTTTGATAATAATGTGACCAAAACTGGACACAGTATTCCAGATGTGGTTTTATTAAGGTTTGATAAAGTAGTACTAATACTATGATCTTGACTTTATCCCGCTGTTAATGCAGCCTAGCATTGTATTGACTTTTTTTGGCTATTGCTACACACAGCTGACTCATATTTAAATGATTGTCTGCTAGGACCAAGATCCCTCTCACAATTACTGCTTTTGAGTCAGATTTCTGTACTTGTACATTTGGGTTTTCCTGCCTAAGTGTAAAATCTTACCTTTCTCACCATCGAATTTCATTTTGTTAGATAGGGCCCAGTGTTCAGATCTGTCAAGACCTTTCTGGATTTTGCGCCTATCTTCCGGAGTGTTGGCTATTGCTGCTAGTTTAGTCATCAGCAGATTTGATGAGTTCCCCTCTATTCCCTCATTTATGAAGATATTGAAGAGTCCTGGGCTTAAGACAGAACCTTGGGTACCCACTGCTTATTTCCTCAAGAGCTACCCTTTATCTTCCCTGCATCAGATATGCAGACACTTGAGAGCAGGTTTCAAGAATTGTCAGGCACAAATAACCAAAAATATCCAATGAGTTCAAAGCACAGATGGTTTTATTATTGCTTTTGATACACAAGAATTTAGTCAACTAACGGTCAAGCCTAAATTGGTGCTAGATAAGAGTTGATGGAATTTGAGGGGAGGGGCTGGACTTGGGTTTCTTGTGGCAACCCAATGACTCTAAACTGATGACACATTTAACTCCACCTTCCAGCTCAGCTGGTTCTTCTCCTACAGAGAGTTCCTTCCGTTTAATGCAAAGTGCTAGCAGCAGCAGCAGAAAGTAGAGAGCGTAGGTCCACATTAGCAAAATGCCAAACACAATCCAAAGCTTATCTGCAAAGAGATCCAGGCAGCAGGCAGAAGTGTTGAGTCATAGACCAAGAGTCCAGACGTTGGTGGGTAGTTGGCAGCTGGTCCAGGATGAGAGTGACAGGTGCAGGCACACAATCTAAATTAGATGGTTGTTTTCAGCGGGCTGCAGCTGGGCAACTGTTGCTGGGCCAGGACTTAAGGCCAGGACTGACCATGTCAGGTGAGACCTACTAAGTGCCTTTGCTGCTCTCGGTGTGGAGAGTAGCATGCTACGCTACAGGACTGAAGTCGCCTGGGATCAGGCTCCTGGTCATCTGGCAGCTGGATTGAGTCATTCTGGACAATTGCCAGCAGAGTCAGCTTCAGGGTCATCACGGCTCCTTTTTCTCTCCCCCCCTCCCCCCCCCCCCACACTCCCCAGGTCCTTGGAGTTTGAGCTGGGCTTGAGGCTGCATTTCAGGTGCATGTGGCCACAGCAGCTTTCTATATTTGGGTGGTTGGTGGGTCCCCAGTGCTAGCTATTATAAAAGGGCTTCTGGCCAGAGGATGTTATGGAGGCTGGTTGTTGGGTCTCCCAGCTGGGATTCAAAGGTGGGGAGATGTCTGGTTTCATAATTTCTTCCTGGTGTTATCCATCCCCTTCCCCATAACAGGTTGCCTTTCCTGTATCTTGCCCACAGTATCTTAGCATTACTTGTTCCCCTTGTGGGAAATATGGGAAAGATCTCTCTGTGACCTCTCTTGGTTTTGTTGATTTGGAAAATTCTGCAGAGAGGAAGAAGACCGAGATGTTGCTGCAGCCGTTCGGGCCTCAGTAGCTGCCAAAAGGCAAGAAGAGAAAAACCGGATGGAAGACAAAGGGGACAGCTGCCGTGCCAAGAAGGAAGATGCCAAAGATCCTGAGCCAACAGTCTCTAAGCGAGGGGTGAAGCCTTTATCCGAAGAATCAGGTGAGCCCTCGCTCTGTCCCCAAAAGCCGAACTGGGCTTTGTCTCAGACAGTGGGTTTCTTCATGTTGGTGAGATGATAGCCTTGCTGTCTCTTGCTGGAGTTCTTGGTGGCCTTTTGGTTAGATTGTGTTCTCTGTTTTTCCCAAGTTCCTAAGGAAGTGGCTCCCAAGGCTGCCTTAAGCAAAGATGACTTTCCTGCCATTGGCCTGCCAAGCGTGGATTCTGTGCAGAGGTGAGTCTTTGGTAGCGTGGAGAAATAAACTGGCCAAAATGTGAACAAGACCTTGCAGAAAGAGATCAGACTCCAGTCTTCAGAGGCCCCTTCAAGACACCTCTCCCTTCTCCAGTTGGGATGGTCCTTTGCTTGGTCCTCACAGACACCCCTGTTTCTCCCTCCAAACTGGCTCCGTTTCCTTATGCCAGCTTGAAGCTTCAGATCTGAATTGGGAGGCAAAGGTCAGTGTGTGCTGTAGGAAGCCTCCCTCTAGCCTTAGAGTCTTAATGCCAGCAATGGTGAGGCTGCTTCTGCTTACTCCTGCGGCTGTTGTGGGAAAGAGCTCGGCCTCTCGTGTTTTCAGGGCTGCCCCCCGAGACTAAAATTGCTGCTCTCTGGGAGTCCTCTGAACAATTGTGCCTTTAAAAAACAAGGCACGTGGAGTGTTTGCCTTGAAACCTTCAGTAGTCACCAATGTACTTGGTTCTAGACTGCCCTTCTGCTCTCTACCCTCCGAGCCCCATCTGGCCTCAGCTGGGCTTGGAAGGAGTCTCTCACCCCCACCCCCACCGTGATTGGAATCACGGATGGGCACCATGGAATGGAATGGAATGGAATAAAAGAGAGTTGGAAAGGACAGAGTTGGAAGGGTCTTCTAGTCCAACCCCCTGCTTAGGCAGGAAACCCTACACCACTTCAGACACATGGTTATCCAACATCTTCTTTAAAACTTCCAGTATTGGAGCATTCACGACTTCTGGAGGCAAGTTGTTCCACTGATTAATTGTTCTGACTGTCAGAAAATTTCTCCTTAGTTCTAAGTTGCTTCTCTCCTTGATTAGTTTCCACCCATTGCTTCTTGTCCTGCCCTCAGGTGCTTTGGAGATTAGCTTGACTCCCTCTTCTTTGTGGCAGCCTCTGAGATATCAGAATACTATCATGTCTCCCCTAGTCCTTCTTTTCATAAGACTAGACATATCCAGTTCCTGCAACCATTCTTCATATGCTTTAGCTTCCAGTCCCCTAATCATCTTTCTTGCTCTTCTCTGCACTCTTTCTAGAGTTTCAACATCTTTTTTACATCATGGCGACCAAAACTGGATGCAGTATTCCAAGTGTGGCCTTACCAAGGCATTATAAAGTGGTATTAACATTTCACGTGATCTTGATTCTATCCCTCTGTTTATGCAGCCTAGAACTGTGTTGGCTTTTTTAGCAGCTGCTGCACACTGCTGGCTCATATCTAAATGGTTGTCCACTAGGACTCCAAGATCCCTCTCACAGTTACTACTATTGAGCAAGGTACCACATATACAGTACCTGGGCATTTTGTTTTTCTTCCCTAAATGTAGACCCTTGCTTTTTTCACTGGTGAATTTCATTTTGTTAGATAGCACCCAATGTTCAAGTCTGTCAAGATCCTTCTGTATCTTGAGCCTATTTTCTGGAGTGTTGGCTATTCCTGCCAGCTTGGTGTCATCTGCAAATTTGATGAGTTCCCCATCTATCCCCTCGTCCAACTCATTGATGAAGATGTTGAAGAGCACTGGGTCTAAAACAAAGCCCTGGGGTACTCCACTGAATACTTCCCTCCATGTAGATGCAGTTCCATTGAGGACTACACGTTGAGTGCGGTTGGTCAGCCAGTTACGAATCCATCTGGTGGTGATGCTGTCTAACCCACATTTTTCTGCTTTATCTAGTAGTAGGTTATTGGTCTGTCAAATGCCTTACTGAAGTCCAAGTAAATTATATCAGAGTGGCAGAGAGGGGGGTTGTCCTGCATAAGTTTTTTTTTTTTAAAAAAATTTGATTTATATGCCGCCCTTCTCCGGAGACTCAGGGCAGCTTACAAGGCGTTAAGCAATAGCCTTCATACTTTTGTATATTTTATACAAAGTCAGCTTATTGCCCCCACAAACTGGGTCCTCATTTCACCTACCTTAGAAAGGATGGAAGGCTGAGTCAACCTTGAGCCTTGGAGAGATTCGAACCAGCAGAAATTGCAGGCAGCTGTGTTAATAACAGGGTGCTTTAATCCACTGTACCATCAAGGCTCTGTGCTTGATGATAAGTGCTTTCTCTTTCAGCTCATCTCAGTTGGCGCCAGTAAAACTTGATGAAGAGGACTTTCCCAGGCTCTCCTTCTCCTCTGCTCCACTTGTGGTCTCTGCCACTCTGCCCTTGTCGTACATGGCTACAGCCCAAAAGACGGGCTTTCAGGAGGAGGACTTCCCTGCCTTGGTCTCCAAAGTCCGACCAAGCAGTAGGATGGTGTCGACCCTCGCCTCGGCCTGGAGTGGTGGCTCCAGTAAGAACATGGCCCGAGCCATCACGGCCACAGCCAGCCAGCCGGCCAGAAAAGGGCCCCCTCCCAGCAGCAGCAAAGCAAGCAAAAAGAGCAAGGTGGTATTCCCTGGCAACTCTCAGGACAGCAGCGGCAGCGTATCCTCTCAGGAGATCCGTAGTGCGCCAACAATGGTGGATGTGTCCTCCTTGCTGGCAGCCTCCAACTCTCAGACTTTTGCCAAAGTGGGTAAGAAGAAGAAAGTTGGGACTGAGAAGCTGAGAACAGCCTCACCCTCCGTCTTGCAGGAGGTGCCAGCCGCCCCCCATTCTCTCGAGAAGGCAGACGATGCTGAGCAGCCCTCATCCGTCGCTGCCAGTCCTGACCTTCCCAGCACATCTGCCACTCTGGTGAACGGTCACTCAGAAAAGCCCACACTGTCATGCAGGGCTTCCAAAGAGCCCCCTGGCCTTAAGAAGCCACCCGGAGGTGGCCAGTGCCTGTTGCCTCAGGAAGACTTTCCAGCCCTTGGGAATGCCGGGCCACCTCGGATGCCTCCACCCCCAGGTAAGGGCTGCGGTGCTCCTCAGTCCTAGGTTTGGGGAAGGGCCTGGGGAGCTGTAGGAAAGCAAAATGGCCGTTGAATCTGGCTTTGGGAAGCAAGATGGGTTGAGGACATTTGGCCCTTTCCTTAGCCCTTCATTGAGAGCTGGTCAGGCATGCAGTAGATGCAGCTGCTAGGTCAGGCTTTGACCCTTCACTCCGGGTCATCTGCTCCTCCAGATCATCTGCCTGGGATCCATTTAGCAGGAGTCGCCCTGGGATCTTGCCACATGGCTCAGACATTGTCCACCACTGAATTGCATATGCTTCTTACACCTCTTGGCTTTATAAAAGCTTTACTGAACTGGGATTAGGATTAGGGTGGATGGGGGGGTAGGACTCAACAAGAGCAAGAGTGGTGATTAATAGGCACCTGCGGGGGCCGTCAGCATCTGCTCTAACTGCTGTCTAACTTTCTCCCTCCTGTTTTTTAGGTTTCAATTCTGTGGTGCTACTTAACAGCCCCCCACCCCCTCCTGGGCTGTCGGTGCCTCCTAGTAAGCCACCCCCTGGCTTCACTCCCATTCCAACCACCAGTACTTCAGAAAATGCCCCAGCTCCAGTGAAAGAGTAAGTGTGAGAGTAGCCCTTCTGGGTGACTGGTGCTCCAGTGCCCGTTTTCCTGGTCTCAGGTGATGGTGCCAGGAAGGAAGGCCTTTGGGGCCTTAACGGGAGAGGCTCTCCCCAGGAGGATCAGACTGGGGTTTCTGCTCAAGGTGGTAGAGATTATATTTATGCTTGTCCGTTTTATATTTATACTTAACAGCTTAAACAGCTGTTGCTAATATTTTGCAGCCAATTTCATATTAAAATTATTCAATTTCAAAACAATATCAAAACAGATGATAAGAGAGCAAGGAGGCTTCCTTGAATTTTGAGGACATGGACAGATCTCAGATTTTTCTTAGAACAGAATAATTATTTATAATAATAATAATTTTTGTCAACAGCATGCAAGTGGTCTGCCATTGCAGCCTTCTACAACTTCCTGGTCTTAGCCTGTAGCCTTGGAATTTCTGTGTGGTCTCCCATCCAAGTACCAGTTTGCTTCACTTGTCACCTGCAGAGAGTTTCTCTCTCTATGTCTACATGTCATGATGTACCAATTGGCTCGTCCTCAAAACAAATCCATAGTTTTTTGGGAGATGTGTGACAACAGGTGCATGAGTTGGTGGACAAGTGCCACAAGGCTTGCTGCACTCCGAGTCACCATTTGAGTTTCAAATCTTCCATAACTCTAACTTTTTGTGCCTGTTTTTGTCACATTCTACAATGAGGATACAAGTCATTAAAATCTGCTCTTATTTTCTGAAGCAAACTTCCCCTTTCTAATAATGGGTTAGAGGGATCTGTGATAACCGGGGTGGGAGGGGGGGGATATTGCACAACAAGAGTCCTGAGCGCCCCTCCCCCCAAAAAAAGTAAGGCCCTTTGCAGCAGAATGTTGACGAGTCCTGGCTGTGTGGTTGTTTGGACACACTTCTGTCTGAGATGCTTGAATTCTGACCCTGGGCAAGTGGTGGCCTCTTCTACCTCTAGGAATCCTTGATTCTGGACTCTGGCATCCGGTTTAGGGATTTCTGACACAGCTTCATAGAACAACAGCAATAGATCACCTGGCGCTTCTTTTTGTAGATAGCTACGTTTTTCTTTTTCTGAAAACAGGCCCAAACTCTGTCAGGGACCCTATCTGATCCTGGAAAACTTCCAGCAACGGAACATCCAGCTAATTCAGTCAATCAGAGAATTTCTTCAAGAAGATGAATCTCAGTTCAACAAATTTAAGACGTATTCGGGACAGTTCAGGCAGGTGAGTAGCCAGGAAATTAATTTTCCAGTAATTTCGTGGCAACAGCTGACGCATGTGAGGTTTTCCCTGGAATCTGTCTTTAGGTGAACATTTCTTTGTGGGAAACTATTCATTATTGTTGATAGAAGTGAGACTGACATAGTGATCAACCAGCCAGCACTCTGGTTAAACAGGAATATTGCTTTTCAAACAGGCTAACTGACCGGTCTCCTTGGGGGCTTGGCATTAGCCTCAGAAACAGGGCGAGAGCTTGTTGTGCCTCAGCAGAAGACTCTGGGGGGAAGTGGGACTTTTGCCTTTGATCCTGAGTAGGATCTGTAAGTGAGAATCGGATCTTCCTGCTGCGAGGAGGAGCCATGCTTTAAAGCGAGGCCTGACAGGAGGCATGCAGTTCTCCGTGGCGTGGGTGACAGCAGGGAGGACTTCTCCCAAGCGAGCCTTTCTCCACACTCAGGAGATGATGCCCCTTAACCTCAAGAGGAGACAGAGGATGACAGCTACTGGGGTTTCTTGGATCTGATCACTAAGGTAGAAACTAGGGATCAGCCCAGAAGTGATGCTTAAAACTAAGAGGCACCCTAAATAGGACTGTCATTTCAGAACCTGCTACCTGCTATCTGTTGTTTTTATCTGCTTCTGCTTCATTAAAAAAAAATAGTGATGATGTGCTTCAGATTTATTAATTACTTAGTAAGTAGATGAGAGTTGAAACCTTGACATCCCTAACAAACTGCAGTTGGGGGATGATCTGGCTCTTCCTGAGTTCAATACATAATAGGTTCCAGAAGCTCTCAGAATTGAGGCTGTGGTCCAACATGAGCACTCTGATTACAGAGAGGATCGGAAAGCTTTTTTGGTTGCTTTTAGTGCCTTTGACTGCTTTGTTTGCTTCTTAGCCTTGTCTTCCTGACATTGTATTTCAAGAAATGGCTGAAGTTTTCATGGTAAAGTATCTGCCCTGATCCTGGCCAAGACCCAGCACACAGAGACGAATGGCTGTCTAACCTACAGGAGCCTCATCATCTTGGTTGCTCTTTGGACTCTTTCTAGGGGCTCAGCATCTTTTTTGTATTGTGGTGCCCAGAGCTATTCCAAGCATAAAGCAGCACTAACACTTATCATGATCTTGATTCTGTCCCTCTATTAATGCAGCTCAGGTGACTGCATTGACTTTTTTGGCAGCTGCAGTAACAGCTGGCCACTAGGACTCCTAGATTGCTGTTGTGCCAGGTACCGTCTATTCTATACCTGCACATTGGTTTTTCTTGCCAAAGTATAAAACCTTCCTTTTTGCACCACTGAATTGCATTGAGTTGGATCGGGCCCAGTGTTCACGTCTTCTAAAGTGTTGGCAATTCCTCCCCCCAGCTTAGTGTTATCTACAAATTTGATGAGTTCTGTTCCCTTGCTTTCTCCTGCTGGAATTGCCAAATCCTTATGCAAAGTAGGAGAAGGATCGGTTCCTGGATGACTTCCTTGGAGAAAAAACTTCCGTGGGATCTCTTCTTCATTCTTGCACATGTTTGTGATCTAATATGTTTGTGCCACCCACAGATCTGAGCTTCCAGTTTGTGTCAACTCCAATTCAGGCTTAGCTTTTTTCATTTCTTTTTCCTGACTGTCCAATTTCTCTTCCTAGGGTCTGATTTCAGCAGAGCAGTACTACAAAAGCTGCCAGGAGCTCTTGGGTGAGAACTTCAAGAAGATCTTCAATGAGCTCTTGGTCCTCCTGCCAGACACAGCCAAGCAACAGGAACTGCTCTCTGCATATCAGGACTTGAAGGGCAAAGCTCCAGCTGGCTCCTCCCCGCCCTCCTCCTTGACCTGGTCCAAGAAGAACCGAAAGGGGGTCTGGCACACAGAGCCGCCTTCTGACCTTGACTGCTGCGTCTGCCCCACTTGCCAGCAGGTGCTGACCCAGCAGGACCTCGTTTCTCACCAAGCCCTGCACCTGGAGGAGGATGAGTTCCCTTCCTTGCAGGCCATTAGCCGGATCATCAGCTAGCTGTCCCAGGTGACCAATAAAGTTAGTCTCCCTCTGAAAAGTGGCTCTTCTCAGGCAGGTTCTCTACCCAGGGGAGAGGAGCCAGCTGTGTGTGTGGGCCAAAGGGCCTTGGGACCTGAGGAAGAAAAGCAGGGGGAATTAAATGGTGACAGACCAAAGGAAGCCATAGCTGTTATCAAAACCTGGGGGCAGTCGTCCTCCCTTGCAGAATAGGATGGAGCAGCAGGGTGATGGGCCTTAACTCCTGGCTGGCCACAGAGGGCTGCAGCTGTTTTCTGAAGAGGGGAAGGTTGGGCTTGGCTGCTGGGAAATAACGGAGAGCGGCTCACAGGGTTTGTCCCAAAGGATTCCAGAAGATGGGAGAGACAGGATCAGGCAAAGAATGCTGCGGGGCCTTTCTCTATCCTTCTTTCCCTCGTTCTTCACAGTGTTTTGCAGAGAGGACTTTGCGGCTTGTCCCAGCAGGGAAGAGTCCTCAGGCAGAAGAGTTGCCCAAGAACTCAGAATCTGTTTCTCTCAAGTTGTTTCTAAAGGAAACCTTGGCTTTTTCCTTTTGTTCTGTTAGACTTGCATGCAGGGGAAAAGGTACCATTCAGCGCTTTCTTTACTTCTCACTGTAAGTGTGGGTTTCTGTCCAGTGATGTGAGTTCAGTTATTTCCATGGTCTTGAGTGGTTGTGGCTCATTAAACGCTGCTCAGCAGTGACCCATTCCTGATGCCTAAGTGCCATCCTGGCATGTTCTTGAAAAGGGCTGCTTGCTTGGATCTCTGCCCCAGTGACTTTGGATGCCCAGGGTGTTGCCAGCTGCTATCCATGAGTTCTGTCCTCTTCTCCAGATCATCTCCAGCAGCAGAGTTGAGTTGCTTCCACAGAAAGGTTCTTGAGACTGTAAAGTTGGTCAGAGCCACCACTAGCTTTTTACATTCAACAGTAGACATTATAAATATGATTTACAATTATCTGTGTTTTTTCTCTCCCCTCTCCCCCCTCTCTTTCTCTCTCTCATACACACACACTGCCACATGTGAGTATTCAAGACCTAGCACAGGCCCCTTGAATTTTCATTTTGTGTACATGTGTATGTATGTGGCATATAATTGGATTGTGCTTCTTCCCACTGCCTCTATTTAAAGGGGGAGACGACAGAAACCTTTGATGTGTCTTGCAAAGCAAAACTGAGTATAATCTACAGATCTGCCACATTCATTTTTGCGGGCTGTCTTTAATTGCTGAGGATTTGGTGTTGCAGCCCCTCAATTTTCAAGAGCAAAAATGGGCTATTAGTGTTTTTTAAAGTCACTATTTGCAGAGCATTTTGCTGTATCAAGTTGGCCATTGAGTTCAAAACTGAAATGAACGTTCTTTTATGTTGGCAATGCTTGTAAGAAGACCTGTAGCCTCAATCTCAGACAAGTTTATTTTGTCATTAGACAAAGTTCAATTTACTGTTTCTGGGTCTTAAAATTTGTGCTTTTCAGCCAGCTTTTTTCAATTATTTCCACATTTTTCAGTGCAAGTATAATAGAATGTAGGGCTCCTTTCAACTTCAGCCCAGGCATGGGAGTGCAAATCGGTTCAAGGAAGTCCTTTTACCTAGCATATTCATGGATCATCTTCGCCCATCCCCACCCCCACATTGGGCCTGTTCCTACTGGTGGGGACATCGCCTTTTCTCACTTCCTGAATGCCCTGCAGTGAGACCTTGTATGGGCCCTGAAGATTCTGTGGGGCTGCTTTTTGCCCCAAGTTCCTGCTTCTTTGAGGATCTCCCTTGAAAGTAATGACTCATGTTGTAGAGTTTTACAGTTTGAGCAGGAAGACAAAGAAGCTGCTGCTTCACTGCACCCCCCCCCCCCAATTCGGTTTGACTGGGGCTCCTTGATCCATGAGAATAAGACTCATCAGGTCTCAGGCTGGGTAGGATAGCTGCTCCCGCTCAGTTGCCTGGCATCCAGGAATGCTTTTGCCATGGGTGACATAAAAGAAGCACTGTTGGCAATGCTGTCCTGCCCTCCTGAGAGGATGGCTCTCAATAAGCCTGCACCAGCCGTTTGGATCACCCCATGGCCTCCCTTCCCCAGGAACATTTTGACAAGTTTCAGGCTCTTCCTTTTAAGCTCTTTATTGGAAAATAAGTTGTAATTGCAACACCAACAGTTAAATTAGCACAATCACAGACTAATCTGTTGTTCAAAATGTATACCTATAATTATATACATAAGAATGTAAACATTAAAAAAAATTCACATGGTCCACTTTTCTGTCACAGTGCATGTTGGATTACTTAAAGTGGCAACTTTTTTCCTGCTGTTGATGATAAATGGAAGCCTCTTCGAACTCCGAATTAACCTTGACAAGAAACAAGGAGAAGCCAAAATGGCATTGCAGCAATTCCAGACTTTTCTCTCTTGTACAGGGATCGCTCCCCTCCAACCAGGCCTCTGCCAATTGTGGTCGTTTGGCAGGACACAAAATGGTTGCTGGGGTTAAGGGGAACTGGAACCTACTGCAGGTAGGAATCCTGTCTGGGGAAATTGGCCGCCTGCTCTGCATTGAATGAGGGACTCCTCAGGCAAAACAAGGTTTTCTTGCTTGGGCAAGAGAAGGCCAAAGTGCTGGGCCATGAAAAGGGAGGCCTTTTGCAGCTGGGATTGATCTAAAGGGAGAATTAACCGGTTTCTGCTTCTGCAGCATTAACAACACAATGTCATCCTTGAAATGCCAACTTGCCGCTTGCTGGGATGTAAAAGGGGCTGCTGGGTGGGCTGAGGCTGCTGCTCGGGAGACTTCCAGCTGCCCCAAAAGGCTCCAGTTCAAGCTGTATTGGCCTTGGGGCACCTGTGTCCCTGCCTGGAACTCCACAGGAACCACCTCCCCGTCTGAAGTGGTGATGGTTTGTGTCGTCATGCCCCTCCATCCCTGCAGTGCTCTGGGACAATTGCAGGTTGAGATAGAGCTGGAAAAAAGCAAAGGAAGAAAGGCCGATGGCAGGGGTCCTTGGATTGCGTTTGGGATCTTTTCTTTTCTGCAGAAGGAAAGCGGCAGGAGAGGATGGGTACTATTTTGGCAGTGTGTAAATGTACGCTTGGGATTTTGTCTTGGAATTCAAAGACAGAAGAGTGAAAAGGAGTAGGAAATGAATTCAAAAAAGGAAGGGATATGCAGCCCTGGCCACATCTATCCATGGAGGACTGAACGGGGAGTGAAGAAAATACTTGCAGGTGAGCTGCTCTTATGGCCTCCAGGACCTGCAGCTGTGGACCTGGCTGGGGCCAAGAGCATCATGGAGGGTTTGGGTCTGGCTCTGCTCCCCTATCACCCAAAAAGCTTAGCCTACTACTTGTCTTGTGGGTCGTCCTGCTTAGGCGGCATTTGTGTGGCTTGTATGGCTGCTTCAGCTGTGGAGGCAGACCCTGCCCCTCTCACACCTTTGACGGTGGGCAAAGGCCACATGACGGGTGTAAAGCCTGATTCTGGGCAGGGTGGAAACCTTTTGGCTTCCCAAGAGCAAATCGGGTGCACTGGAGCTCTCATTTTAGAACATTATTTGGGAAAGTTATAACAGCCCCACAAAAGAGTTTTGGAACTGGGACAATCCTAACATAACAGATTATATTTGCAGGGGGGTCGGTGGGTGGGTGGGTAGGAAGTTGTTCAGGATGAAGCCCCCAGTGAGAAAAAACTGCCATTTTCACCACAGCTAAGGAAAGGATTGCCACAGAATGCAACATGGCTGCTCTGACCCATTTGCTACAAGTTTGTGCTGAGGAATTGTGCCTTGATGTCGTCAGCCGCTTGGCCCTTGACGGGCGTGGGGAGGGGGATCCGGAGCTCCCACACTTCCAGCCCACCAGCAGCCGCTTCCAGTGCAGTGCCGGCCCAGCCACCAACTTGGGGTGATCTTGCTCCGTCCCCCTGAGCCAGAATTGGGCTGAAGTGGGCGCAGCGGAGCTTCTGGCTTGAGCCAAGGCCGATACTTTGGGTTAGGCTGGTTCCGCTGCTGCACACGCACACACAACACCCGTCTATTTTAGTCCATTCCGCTTTCAGTGCCAGCCTGAGTTGTGAACGCTGCATGGCACATTGACACAGCTTTGTCCAAGCCACCGAACTGCTTCCCGCCTCTCCCCTTAAGCTCAGGAGGCTGAAAGGAAGGAAATACATGCGTAGGCAGCACGTGCATACATTCAGAACGGTAATCTATAGCACATTAACAGTGACCAAGACGTTTCTACCACTCTGACAGAACATAATCGCCCGTTTTTTCTTTTTTTTTCCTTACAGTTAGCACAAGGGTAGTTTGAAAAGGGTTTCTTTATAGTTAGGAAAAAAGTATACTACTGAACAGACATTTATTTCACACGTACAATCGAGAGAAACATTTAAATATTTAATAATTCTGCTTCTGAGACTGCTGCTGAATCTGCAGGGTTTCTTCCTAAAATGCTGAAACACAAGTTTTGTGGGCTGCTAATGTCGCAGTGTTCTCTCTAAGGAAAATACTGTATTGCTTCAATTCTACCCTGTTTTAAAAACATCTTCAGTCTTGCACTGTTTTTGAACTGCCAAGGCTGACTTGCTCACCTTACAAAATCAAATCTGGTGTGTTTTAAGGCTGAAATACGACCATGGCCATTTTAACAGTCTCTGAAAATTTAGTGTATTGGTTATTTACTATTTCTGTTTGGTTTCTGCCTCTCCTGCTCCAAGATATCTGAGGCAGCTAAAATATACATTATCCCACTTTCATGTTTTTTTGCACTTGGAAAAGTCTACATTTAGATCTTTAAAAGAATACTGGGACACCTGTCTCTGCAGGAGGATCCTGCGACCACAGTCCCCTATTGCAGCTGAAATTATTTAGAATAATTTCTTTTTCCTATAAAAAACTGTTTCCATTATCTTTGTTTTATATCACCTCAGTCACCTCAAACCCAAAACCCATGTTCTGTTGCCTTCAGTATTTCTGGTCCTTTATGGGGGGATTATATTATGAATATTTTTGCTTTTGAAACTTAAGGATCTCACTGTCCCTATGAAACAGTTACTTGAGTTGCAAAGGAAAGAGAGAATTTTCTCAATGTTATAATGCTTATTATGCCAACATGGATATTTGTTTCAGAGGAAAGTATAGGTAGCCTCAACATGAGACATGGCTATTTTAAAGGGGTGGCAGGAACAACATTTTGGTCTCATTCATGTTGAAAAAGAGCATGCCAAATGTCAGTAATCTTTACCCCAATATCTGAGGGCCACCCAGTGTGTGGAATCAAGACTCCACTGTTGTCTTTGTGTATCCTCCCAACTTTCCCTCCCCTTTCTGATTTCTCAAAAAGAAAGATGGTTCTTCAAAGAAGAGGAGCCACCAAATCTTGAGATGGCACCTAAGTTGGCCAAATGCTACATTTCTTGCTGTTGAAGGACTTCTATTGGTTTGATTCCTGTCTGGAATAAGGTTTAGCTTTTTAAGTGCACAATTTAAACAACAAAGTGTCCTGGAATACCAGAAACACATGTGCAGCATATATATACACATTTATTGTCCCAAGTATAGCACTTATATACACCCAACTGTACATCAGAGAAGATATTAGAATAGACAGCTATTCTTTCTGGTACTTTAATTTGGCACATTCCTTTTTAACTTAGTTCTAAGTTCTTTCTAGGAGTAAAGAAAATGGAAAAGGAGGGAAAGAGAAGACAGTGACTTCTAAGGGTATCTGGGAGAACTATTTTTTTGGATTACCTTGGAAGTACTTGAAGTACTAGCTGGCCAGGAGAGATGGGCACTCTATCTGGCTGGCCCCTTGGGTATTCATGACACCTACAAACAAGGAATAGGGCTTTGATCATCTTGTTTGGGGGGGGGCACCCACACCTCTCCAGCGCCCCTGTGTCTTGCCAGGTTTTGTGTGCACTTGCAGCCAAGTGTCACATGAGTAAACGCCACTGTAGTCAGGGAAATGGGAGTTACAGCTTTTCTAGAGTTTCCTGCTTAGAGGGAACACTGTTGCCCTTCTCTTTCTTTTTAATATAAAAATATCCTTGGACAGATAAGACAAGAACCACTGTACAGAATTCACTGCACCATTAGCTAAGAGTAAGTTTAACCCAGCACATAACTCGCCACATGTAAAAAAAAAAAAAAAGGAAAGTACTTTTGAATACACTTGCAACCAATCTGTTGACTATACTTGCACCTTGTGGTATGTCAGCCCATTTTTCTGGGTCTGGTTTCGGTTTGCTCTGAAACCCCGTTTGGGAGAGGGTCACCTGCCCTTTCAGTAAGCTGGCACCTGGTAACCTTTGGGGCTGGTGTTCAGGGTGTCGGAGAATGGTGGGCTCTGATAGGTTTCTGTGCTTTCGATGCCACTGCTAGTGGGAGGGTGTCCCGGATATCCTGTCATGGGATCGGGGCCAAACTGATCCGTGGCAAAGAGAGACATGTCAGTCCCCATCCGGTATCTTTGGAGGGCTTTTACAGTCAGGGCAACCTGTAACAGCAAAGAAAGGTTTCTTAGCACTTAGGTTCCGTCTTAGGCCCAGGACTCTTCAATATCTTCATAAATGACTTAGATGAGAGAATAGAAGGGGAACTCATCAAATTTGCAGATGACATTAAGCTGGCAGGAACAGCCAACACCCCAGAAGACAAGCTCAGGATCCAAAAAGATCTTGACAGACTTGAACAATGGGTTCAAGTCTGTCAACAACATGAAATTTAATGTGGAGAAAAGCAAGGATTTACACCTAGGCAGGAAAAACCAAAGGTACAATTACAGATTAGGCAAAATCTGGTTCAAAAACAGTAACTGTGAGAGGGACCTTGGAGCCAGCTGTGTGCGGCGGCAGCCAAAAATCTAATACAATCCTTGGTTGTATAAACAGACATAGAATCAAAATTATGTGACGTATTAATACCACTTTATAAAATGTTAGTAAGACCACACTTGGAATACTGCATCCAGTTTTGGTCACCACATTACAAAAAAGATGTGAAGACTTTAGAAAAAGTGCAGAAAAGAGCAACTAAGATGATTAAAGACCTGGAGATTAAAGACCTGGAGATTAAAACATATGAAGAAATGTTGCAGGAATTGGGTATGTCTAGTCTAGTGAAAAGAAGGACTAGGGCTAACATGATAGTAGTATATACCATTATTTGAGGGGCTGCCACAAAGAGGAGGGGGTCAATCTATTCTCCAAAGCACCTGAAGTCAAGACAAGAAACGAAACTAATCAAGGAGAGAACAACTTGGAATTAAGGAGGGATTTCCTGACAGAACAATTAACCAGTGCAACAGCTTGTCTTCAGAAGCTGTGGGTGCTTCATCACTGGAGGTTTTTAAGAAAAGACTGGACAACCACATGTCTCAAATGGCATAGGATCTCCTGCTTAAACAGGGGCTAGGACTAGAAGACCTCCAAGGTCCCTTCCAGCTCTCTTCTGATTGATTGACTTTTGCGCCAGCAGTGGAAGTGACAAGTCAACCAATCAAACTACGCAGTTTCTTATATTCATGATTATAATATAAGAAGTTGATTATAACTATTAGTAATAAATTTGTGTGAACAGATTAGTATGAGATACACTGAACTCTTCTCAATAAATTTCTATTCCTGCACTTAATTGGTAAAGCAATAGTTTAGCTGGTTGTGTGGGGCCACTAGACTTGTTTCTTTAATAGCCAAAGTTATTTTGCTTTTGTTTTTCTAATTTTCCTCTGCTCTTTTATTCCTTCCCTCTGACTTCTCACAGATCCACCTTCCTTAGGATCAGGTATTACTACCCTGTTTCCCCCCAAATAAGACATCCCCTGATAATAAGCCCAATCGGGCTTTTGAACGCATGGCAATAAGGCCAAGCACTTATTTCAGGGTTCAAAAAATATAAGACAGAGACTTATTTTCAGGGAAACACAGTATCCTAGCTGAAGGAAATAGCTTTTTATCACAGGACATCACAGAGGGTCCAAAAGCATTCTGGGAAGACAACGATGGATGTTAATGGCTTGCAAGAGATCATTATCATCATCTTTAAAAGTTTTAAAGCACACAAGATTCCTTAGGAAGGCCAAGGCCAAGGCAAATATTAGGATGAATCGACTGTATTCATCATGCTGGGGGCTAAGGAGCTCTGGAAGACCTTTCCACTTTCAGATGGACCTGGACTGGATTTATGGTCTTCTACTTGCAAAATCCTTGAATGCTAAGTTTGGGGATCTTGTCCTCCTTCTGTCACTGATGACTGGATAAAAGAATATTGCCAGCTGAGAGCAAAGGACACCATCATAAGGAACAGCTTGCACAAATGTGTTTCTGTGGTGCTCTACCCTGCAAAGTATCATCTCATACAATGACTTGGTGAATAAAACTTTTTTCTTTTTGACCTACAGAAATAGAGCTCACTATCTTACGACCCCTACTTAAATCCCCTGCATTTTTTTTTCCTTTATGTCCTGTATTCTCTGAGCAAAACTAAGAGGTTTCTAATAGTTTACTAAAGGACCCAAAGTATTACAGCAGGACCTCATTTAAAAATCAAAACCCTCTTTTCTTTCTGATACTCTTGTACTTTCCAAATATAAAAAGCAATCCCCTATTTCAAACGTGTTAAAGCTTTTGTTATTTTTTTCTGCTTATCTTATTGGGCATCTCTTGAGAATGCTTTTATTGAAAAGGAGGCCCCTCTTTTGTCTGCCCTTATATATATATATCCCAATTTCTAAAATGACTCTGCAAGTGGCATTGGGGAGGGGGCAGCCCTCTCTCGCCTTAGAAGAGGTCTTTGGTGCCTGTTTTGCAAATGTTTTTCCTCTACTTGGCATAATATAGAGCAGCTCAGAGTCTGCTGGAGTGGGCAGCTGTAAATAAATAATCATATATTCTTATCATTAGCTGCTAAAGAATATATTACAGATCTTTTTTTAAAAAAAATGTTCAATATCTCATCAATGTCTCCAAATTTAAAACAAAAGTTCCAAAGAATTTAGAACTCTTTACTTGTTAATGCCAACATCTATAGAGTGGCAGGAAATTTTTAAAAAGGCAATTGGGGGAAGGAGGCTTAGATATCAGGGCAAAGTTTCACCTCCAGCAAAGAATTTGACCAGAGATGTAGCATCTGTATTAATTTTCTATTCTTAGTCACTGCGTTTTGCTGAGTTGAGAAAAAAAGCTAATAAATCAATTTGGGTCATTCTCAGTTTCATTTTTGTAAGGGCTGACTTCCTTTTTTCCGTTGAATAAATGTGGACTGGAAACTGTATCTGATGAGGAAAGATGGTCAATCTTCAGGTATTACACAAAAGATGAACTAGATGCCTGAATACAGAATAATGGATTTCAGTTACAATAAAGTCATCTGAATGTTGAAAAAAAAATCCTAATATTAAGAACAGGTCAAAAGTTGCCCCCAGAGATAAGGAGAATCCAAGACCTCAGTGCCTTCCGCCGTGCCCTTAAAACCCACTTTTTCCAGCAAGCCGGGCTGGTTTAAGAAGAAATTTTTAAATTTTTTAAATGTTTTAATTGGTTTGTGATTTTTAAGTTTTTGGGCCAAATGTATATATATTTTAATTGTTCTTAATATTTGTAGTTCATGTTCTTAATTCTGGCTGTGCACCGCCCTGAGTCCTTAGGGAGAAGGGCGGTATATAAATTGAAAAATAAAATAAAAATAAAAAATAAAAAAGGCATCAATCACCAAAGGAGGGGCGACCTTCCTCTGCCTGGGGACCTTCCAGGGGCAGCTGGAAGTTCATTGCTTTGAAAAGCATTTTGTTTGTGACCCCTCAACTCTCTAAGAAGTGAGCTGGCGAGAGGGAGGAACTGACCCAAAGCCACCCAGCCAGTTTCTGTACCTAAGGAAGGATTAAAACACTTTTCTAGTCTACTTAAGCTTTGTTTCATTTACTGAAGAAATGCAAACTAGATTTTTCCCATTTGTAGAGAGAAAAACATGTATTAATGCTTTCCCCTTTTACAGTTTTCCCACTGACTTCCTAGAAGTGCTTTGAATCCCTTTTGTTGCATATTATCTGAATGTTATTCTGAATTCAGCATCAGCTTCTCAAGACATAATGCCAGAAAGAGTCTCATGATTTAGTTGATTTTAACAGAAGTTTTTTAGCATGTGTTTTTTCACAAAACCCTTATCAAGTAAACTCTTAACTAGGGGATCTGATTAGTTGACTGGCTTGGGAGAAATTACTCTTATGATTATTAGCATCAGGCAACTGTCAATTTTTTAGCTGAGCCAAGGTGGCGCAGTGGTTAGAGTACAGTACTGCAAGCTATTTCTGCTGACTGCCGGCTGCCCGCAATTTGGCAGTTCGAATCTCACCAGGCTCAAGGTTGACTCAGCCTTCCATCCTTCCGAGGCTGGTAAAATGAGGACCCAGATTGTTGGGGGCAAACCGCTTAGAGAGGGCTGTAAAGCACTGTAAAGTAGTATGTAAGCCTAAGTGCTATTACTATTGCTATTGCTGTCTATACTTGAGGAACTTATCCGAAGCCCCACCAGGTCTTGTTCACCGGAATTCAGACACCACACAAAGCCCCAAAATATTAAACAGGACTGTGCAATCAGAGCCCCACTTTTCTATACATCATATGGCACAAGTATGTATACCATCTTGACGTTTTGACACACATGCACCAATACACATACAGATGCCTTTCTTGTCAGGGATCGTGAAGGATATAAATATAGCATTTTAAAACATGAACACTTAAGGCACAATTAGTGCCTGCAGGCTACCCCTCACCTGGGCGGGGGGGGGGGGCAGAATGTATTTTTCTTACCCAGGAAATGATGGAGAAGAAGGAGAAGGCAATGGCTGCTCGGGCAGCATCTCCTCCTTGGGATGCCCCTTTGCTGGCAGGGGTCCGCTGCCACTGGTTGGCGAGAAAGCAGAATGCCACAAACCAGAGGAAGGACCAGGAGCCTGTCAAGCAGAAAAAACAGTCAGCACCCCGGTTGGTTGGATAGATTTCAAGGTAGACCAAGGAACTCGTGGAGGCTGCTGGCATCCTGGAAGATCAGAGGAGAACAACTATCAACTGTGGAGTTGTCAGCTTCACGTCAGAGCCAGGGCCTCTTTATGTGCACTTGGACAACATGCTCCAAATAACAGGACTAAGCAAAGGTTTGTGGCCATCAAATTGTGCCTGGCCAACCTTATCTCTTTGGGCAGAATTTCTAACTCGGTAGATCAGAGGATGCGTTGAGACACAGCATAACTGGAACTTTGCTGTAGCTCCTCTAAATCTCTCCTAAAATGCTCTTGATATAACATGGGCTAAATTAAAGTACTGTTAGGTGGCCCCACAGTTGTTTGAATGACCACACCCAGCGCCTCCACTTCAGCTTTGAGTCTAGTTTCCAGTACTGCGCTGCACCTCTCAGTCCTGGGCTCTGTCCAGTTCAATTGCCATCAGTGACCTTGATGAGAGATCGGAGGGGATGCTTGTAAAGTCTGCAGGTGACTCTGCTGAGAAGAGTGGCTAAAGCGTAAGTTGAAAAGAGAAGATCAAAACCTCACATCCTGGGCTGAAACAAACAGAGAAGAAGGTGAAGTCCTGCACTGCAGCCTGCACTGTCTCTAAGAACAGCTGGAGAGGCAGATGCTCTCTTGGGGTGGATAAAGAGGAGCAGAGTCCAAACCCTGGGGAATAAAGCAGGCCGCCCTTCTCTGCCCTGGTCAGACCCCATTTGGAACACCGTGTCCAGTTTGGGGCACCAAAGTTCAAATGAACAGTGACAGATTGGAGTAAGTTTACAGGAGAGCTACTGGGAGGGAAACCAACCCCTGTAAGGAACAGTTAAAGCCCTGACTATGCTCAACCTACAGAAAAGGTGTCTGAGGGGAGGTGTGGGAACAGCCCCCCCCCCCAGATATCAGCAGGATTGCCACACAGAAGAGGCCTCCTTTCTTATCACAAAGGACACAACCAGGACTGCAGCAAAAACCCCTTCTGAAGGGGATTCAGGCTAGACGTCCGGATTGCGCAAGCTGTCAGCCAGAGCAAGAGATCCACCCCGTGCCAACTTCCACTCTGCAAGGAGGCAGGGCTCCGATCATATGCCCAGGCCCACCGAGGTGGCCTTTTCTACCACCTCCACTCTGGGTTGCCCTCTGTTATTTTTAACAATACTGTAATATGCTTTATTTCGAAGTTCTACTCCAGGCAGTCTCCGACTTACAACATTTCATTTATGGATTGTTCAAACTTACAGTGGTAGTGAAAAAAGTGACTTATGACTGTTTTTGACACTTATGACCATTGCAACATCCCCATGGTCATGTCATCAAAATTCAGACGCTTGGCAACTGGCATGTAGTTATGACAGTTGCTGTGACCCAGGGTCATGTGATCAGCTTTTGCGACCTTCTGACAAGCAAAGTCGATGGGGAAGCCAGATTCACTTAACAACCATGTTATTAAGTTAACAACTGCAATGATTCACTTAACAACTATCACAAGAAAGATCAATAAAGCTGTGTGTGCAGCGGTGAAATCCCCCTGGTTCTATCTGGCTCACCGAACCGGTAGCGCCGGTGGCAGGAGGCTCCGCCCACCCACTGGGACGTCATTACATCCCTTTTTTTACCATCTGCGCATGTGCAGAAGAGGCACGCGCATAGCACACGCGCACTCCCATGTGCTCCCGTTCCCGAACCGGTAGCGAAGGTAAGTGGATTTCACCGCTGTGTGTGTGTATGTGATGGCAAAAGGGGAGGGGGGAATGACAGGTGATAAAGACCAGAGAAGCTCGGAGCTAGTTGGTACCAGCATCCAAGGCCAGGCAGCCTGAGAAAATATGTGAATTATCACAAAACATCTCAGCATTCTCAAAACACTTCATCAAGTTCTGATTGGCTGAAGATGAACTGGTCACAGGGAGAGGGCTGGAAACCTTTCTGTATCTTTTGAGCGCAGGAAACCCAGAGCTTGCCTGACTTTACTGCAGTCAACATCTCTTAGTAAAAGAACCTTTTGCTTCGACCGAATGGAGTTGAGGGTCTTTCTTGCCTAAGGGATCAGATTAGGGCAGGTCTGACATTAGGTGAGCTCTAGGGTTCCCATGCTCAAAAGAAGTCTGACAGAACCTTTGCGTTATCTTGTCGAAAATAAAGAGGCCAAGTGTGCGCAGGAAGGTCCTGTCTCTTGTTGCTCTGCAGCCCTCTGGGCTTCCCACCCTTCCCTTCAATTCCAAGGCAAGCTTCAAAGCAAAAGCACTCCCACACCACGTCATCACCCATGAATGCAGCCAGCTGGAAAACACCCCCAGGGGAAACATAAAAGCCATTCCCAAATGCCTTCAGAATACACTGAGAAGATGAGAGGAAGAAGGACATCTGAGAAGTTGTAAAACAGATTTTAACACAATAGTTTTATTGCCTGAACTAACTGTTTTTGCTTTTCTTTGGTTAGATTTCCATCAGAATTGAGCACAACTAAACACCTTCACACACCTGCAGTTGGTCAAGCACTTTGTAAGACACGCTTGTGCCAGCCCATCCAGCCTTGGTCCATGGGCAGTTGTGGCACAAAGCCACGCTCACTGGATGCCCTAGGTCAGGCTCAGGATGTGGGATTTCGTCTGTTTGGGGAACCAGGGTGTTATGCAAAGCCATGATCTTGTTTATTTTGGCACCATATGCTATGTGGATACAAGAATGTTTAGTGAACCCAAGCCTGGGTTGACTATGTGGTGTGAACCAGCCCCTGTGTGAGTCAAGCTCCCCGTTCCATCCCAGTGGACATACCAGAAAAGCCAAGGTCCAAGAGGACAACACGCTTTCTGTCCTTCACACTGCTGATCTGCTGGAAGTAGAGGTCCATCACCAGGAAGAAGCTGCAGGCCAGGAAAGCCAGCAGTCCTATTGCGATGCCATAGTTGCAGGCGCCTTCATTGCTGTTGAAGATGCAGTGCAGCACCGGGGACTTATCTGTGTTCACATAACCCTCGTTGATGATGGAGCCAAACACCACAATAGAGAACACCTGCAATGGGTGGCGGGGGCGGGGGAGAGGCAGGTGAAGGAAAGAGAGGAACAATGTGCAGTTGAAACCTCAGCTCTTTCCAAAAGGATTCATATTATACCATGTTTCATTTCTGGTCCATCCTCAAAACAACTTATATAAACCAGAGAAAACATGCTAAAACGTATCAAGAGAGGATCAAGAATGCTTGTATTTGTGTATCTGGAGAAGGTTTCCACTCTCTGATTATTGTATAAAACAAACGTCACAAAGGGGAAAAGTTTGGGAAGGGAAGAGGAAAAACAAGTACAAGCTCATCCCTATTAAAACTTGACCCGATGAGAACAGCGCATGCCTCTAGGATGGGGGCAGTCAGTCAGCCACAAGCAGAGGCCATCACCCTGCCTGGGTCTTCTCTAGCCTGCCCTTCAGTGAGAGCTGCCATTCGCTGATGGTCAAGGGGAGAGCAAGGTACTTTACGGAAACAAGATTAGGATGGATTATTTTAAAAGTAGATGTTATCTTGCCCCCTCCACTTTAGCCTTGCTCCATAGGGGGAACCAAGGGAGGGTGTCAAATCAAGTGGTGATCTCAACCCCATGACTGAACATTACCTAATCAATCACAGAACCTAAGCCTTGTATGCGTATGCGGTGTACGTCCCATGTAGCAAAGGCTTTGACATGGCCAGCATCCTTCTTCATGGATGTTCTACCCCGCCCGAGGCCCCTGGCCTTTTCTATTCATCTGTCCAACCTTTGGTCATTCGCCAGATGCTGCATCAGGGCATCTTCGCAAACCTTCTATCCTCCATGGGGTGAAGTTCCAAAAAGCATTTTAAAGAACCACAGATGGATTTCTAGCATAGGTGACAGAGGCAACCAAAGCAGCCGAGAGGATCTACAGAAAGTCCCTGTGGCCACAGGACAGGAGGAACTGCAGGCTTTCTGACAGAAGAGTCCCGCAGGGCTTGGAAGCTGCTTGGAAAGAAGCCCTGGAAGGCTGGAAAAAGCCAGGGTTTCGCTGACCTCTGAGTGGAGGAGAGCAGCTGTTCCAGTTGGAGGGCAGCAATGATGCAACCTCAGTTCCCCACAGAAAGCTAGGCAGGATGGAAGCCTATTACTCTGGGGATGAGAAACCACAAGGACTCCCAAGATGAGAGCGGGAAATGTCTAAGAAAAGACCATGGAGAGAGAGTTGCCGATTGTGGCCAGGAAAACCATATGAAGATGTCTAGGTAAGTCAGAGAGACTCGATTCCCTTTCTGAAGCCAGAAGAGGGAGGGCAGAAGAGGAAGGAGAAGAACAGGGAAACTTGAGGAAAGGTCCCTATGTTGGAGGGAAAGAATAGAATAGAATAGAATAGAATAGAATAGAATAGAATAGAATAGAATAGAATAGAATAGAATAACAGAGTTGGAAGGGACCTTGGAGGTCTTCTAGTCCAACCCCCTGCCCAGGCAGGAAACCCTACACCACTTCAGACAAATGGTTATCCAACATCTTCTTAAAAATTTCTAGTGTTGGGGCATTCACAACTTCTGCAGGCAAGTTGTTCCACTTATTAATTGTTTCTAACTGTCAGGATCTCCTTAGTTCTAGATTGCTTCTCTCCTTGATTGGTTTCCACCCATTGTTTCTTGTTTGACTCCCTCTTCTTTGTGGCAACCCCTGAGATATTGGAACACTGCTATCATGTCTCATGATACTAGTCAGCACAGGTATCCTTGGCCACAATTCTGTAAGCTAAGAGTTGGAAGTAGCAATGAAAAATAAAACTGGGCAATTTTGCCTCCATCGTGCAAATCAAGTCCGTTTCGGATTCCTTCCGGGGAGGCAAATCAGAGACAATCTGAGAATTGTGCTGGACACCCTAGAGTACTATGAAGAACACCCCGAAAAACAGATGGCCTTAATCTTTGTTGACGCCCAAAAGGCATTTGACAATCTAAATTGGAAATTTATGACCAAACAAATTGAGATAAAGAAATTCGGAACAAATTTTGAAATGATGATAAAATCTATCTATGATAATCAAAAGGCGAGCATCCTGGTAAATGGAGATAGGACAAAAACATTTCAGATTAGCAAGGGGGTAAGGCAAGGCTGCCCCCTGTCACCACTATTGTTTATTTTGGCCCTAGAAGTTTTGTTATGGAAAATTAGAATTAACGAGGAAATAAAAGGTCTAAAGTTTAGGAAGGAGATCTACAAGACGCAAGCATTTGCAGACGATGTAGCCTTAATTCTTGAGGACCCCATAGAATCGGGACCAAAAGTGCTAGAGGAATTGGGTAAATATGGAGAGGTGGCAGGCTTCACGTTGAATAAAACTAAAACTAAAGTACTGACCAAGAATGCAACTGAGAGTCAGAAAAATGAGATAGCAGAAGTGTTAGGACTACAGGTTGTCAAAAAAATTAAATACCTAGGAATTTGGATTACATCAAGATGTTCTACGTTAAATTACTTAATCTGTTTCTTAATAGTTTTTAACTTCTATATGTATTTGTATTTATTATGGCTGTTCACCGCCCTGAGTCCTTCGGGAGTAGGGCGGTATACAAATATGAAAAATAAATAAATAAATAAATAAAAGAGGACAACTATATCCCCTTAATTAGAAAAATGAAACAAGACCTCGATAGATGGAAGAAAATAAGATTGTCACTTTTGGGCAAGATAGCCGCAATTAAGATGAATATTCTCCCCAAAATATTATTCCTATTTCAAAATATACCGGTGAATTTAGACAAAAAGTTTTTTTTAGAATTAGATAAAATCATCAGAGAATTTATATGGGAGGGGAAGAAGCCGAGGTTTTCCATTAAAATTTTAAGGGGCAAAAGAGATATAGGAGGATTTGGGCTCCCCGATTGGGAAACATACTACAGGGCAGCTAAGCTAGTTTGGATAAGATATTGGACCACCCTGGAAAATGAGAGGATTTTAACCCTTAGAAGGCCACGATTTACAAAAAGGGTGGCATGCCCACATTTGGGACGTAGAGAAGAAAAGGAAAACATATTTTCATAGACACAAAATTAGAGATTCATTGATACAAACATGGACCCCGATTAGGCAAAGATATTATTAAAAAGTCCCAAGTTGGCTCTCTACGATGGAGCCCCTGATCTACCCCAATAGATGGGGAATGGAGAAAATGGGCAGGTATAAAGATATCTTAGATCAGTGGTTCTCAACCTTCCTAATGCCGCGACCCTTTAATACAGTTCCTCATGTTGTGGTGACCCCCAACCAAGGGTGGGTTCTAAATTTTTTTACTACCGGTTCTGTGGGCGTGGCTTGTTTTGTGGGTGTGGCTTGGAGGTCATGTGACTGGGTGGGCGTGGCTAGCTGGTCATGTGACCAGGTGGCCATGGCTATATGTATAGGGACTACTCGGAGGGCTGCAAAAAGTCATTTCTGACAGGTCCTCGCACTTTTGACTGGTCCTCACACTTATGACCATCCTCACATTTATGCCTGTGCAGCATTCTTAACAACCATGTCACTCATTTCACAACTGCTTCTCTTCAACATGGTATAAGATAGGGCAAAAAACGTAAAATGTGAGGACAGTCGTATATTCGAGGACTGGTCAAAAGTGCGAGGACCAGTCAAAAATAACTTTTTCAGCCCTCAGAGTAGTCCATATACATAAAAGGATACAGCAATAGAGAGGGATGAAGGAAGGGAAGAGAAATTAGAGTAGGAGTGAAGGTAAGAGAGGGAGGAAGAGAGGAGGAGAAAGAGAAAGAAAGAGGAAGTAGGGAGAAGAAGAAGAAGGGGGGAAGAGAAAGTAAGTAAGAAAGAAAAGACAGAGGTGGTAGGTTTGAGGAGAAAGATTGCTGTACAATAAAAAAGATGAAAGGGAAGAAAGCCAACCCCAAACAAATATTAAGATATTAAAATAAAGAATGAATTGTTAAACTTTAAAGAATAAAAGAGAACAAATAGCAATAAATAGCAATAATTAGAAACACACATACAAACATACAACGTATTTTCTTTGAACAGAGTATTTGGCCGGTTCACAAATTTAAACAGCTGTAGGAGGTTAGCACCCACCCCTTTCCTAGAAGAATGAAATATTTTGGGAAATATTAAAAAGGCAGAATATTATATTTCCCTACCTGGATGAGAAATGGAGAAGCATATTTTACAGACAAAGCAGCTCCCACCTTCCTGCCCCCCACCCTTTGTTAATGGGCCAGAGGCAGAAAGTCAATCCTTTGTCAAAGGACATTTGCAACACAATAGCAACAGAAACTAACACAATGGGCCCCATCAAGCCATGTGATCCTGTCCACCATTAAACCATCTTTCCAAGCAGTCTCCATTTTCCAGTGTCTTTTTCCCCACTTGGAGCAGAACCCAGAAGGATATTTCTTCCAACACAGTATTTAGTCGTTTCAATTAAATTTACAATTTCTATATTTCCTTTTTACCATATTTATTCCTCATCTATTTTTTTTTAAAAAAAATATTACCCTTCATCCTCATCTCTAATCTTAATCAAATTCAATTTTTCCCTTCTATTCTATATTATACCCCTTCGCATTGTCATCTATTTTTATATCCATCCTCACATTGGTTAATTCTTCCTAATAAGAGCCTTGGTAGTACAGGGGTTTAAGGCACCCTGTTATTAAGCTGGTTATTAAGACCAGCTGCCTGCAATTACTGCAGGTTCGAATCTCGCCAAGGCTCAAGGTTGACTCAGCCTTCCATCCTTTCTAAGGTAGGTAAATTGAGGACCCAGTTTGTGGGGGCAATAAGCTGACTTTGTATAAATATACAAAAGGATGAAAGCTATTGCTGAGCACATTGTAAGCCGCCCTGAGTCTCCGGAGAAGGGCGGCATATAAATCAAATTTTTTAAAAAAAAATAAAAAAAATTATGTAATGCAGTTGTTTAATACAAATTCAACATTTTAATATAAATCAATTAGTTATATAACTATCTTTTTTGTATATTAATATGAACATGAATATTCCAATTATTTCCATGCAATCCAA